CACACACACGCACACACACACACACACACACACACATAGACATATGCGTGAAAGTGCTATAGACATGAACCCCACCTACTACTTCGTTTGCGGTTGTTGTTGCTGTTGCTGTCGATGCTGTTGGTGGTGAGGTGGTGGTTGATCGTTCAGCCTCTGGTTTCCCTTTGAACAACCTCCATTAAGTTCAGCTCGTTTGTTGCACAGTATGGTTGAAAGCGTTCTATTTTAATCCGGTTTGACAGGAGACACGGGCTATAATGGTTTATATCATATGTCAAGAACTATCGGTCTGATCTGTGGGCTGAGATAACGCCTAGACGGTGCGTCGTGCAACAAACGATTTGAACGGCTTATGTCATAAGAGAAATATGGTGGCGATAATACTCATAGACGTTTAACCCAAGAATACGTGAAGGACACACTCTACTGTCATCATTCAATGATATAGATGGCGCTGATATATGACAATGTGAGTCCCAGGGCCAGGCTGAGCCAAAAACCACCCCCCACCCCACCCCCCTGTTGCTGGTCGTGGGTAGAGAGCATGGGTGATCAGGTGTCCGTGTTGCTGGTTACATCATACCCTGGTGACGTGTATCGCCGCTTGTGTCGTAATCACGTATTTGCTTGGTTCAGGTTTTATTGAACTGACGGGCAATGATGTGTAAGTGAGTGTTATACGCCGCTTTTAGCAACATTCCAGCAATATCACGGCGGGGAATCGAACCCGAGTCTTCGGCGAACGCCACTAACCACTATTCTACTCTACCGACGCGCCGGACACTGAAACTAAACACTCTGTTTGATGGTGGCGAATATCAACAAACACATATAGTTAGTTATTCGATGTTGATGTAGCCTAAACGGGGTTTATAGCTGTGTTCTAACCTGGAAGTGTTTCAGCAAATGATTTCAGCCTCGTAACGGTTTTATAACGTTTGTTATTGTTTGGTTAAATTCAAATTTTGAAGTGTGCATTTTCTTTGTGCCAGATAGTTTATTTAACGAACAGCCGCCTTCCACAGTCGTGTCTGTAATGTATTTCTGATTAATAAAATCAGCGACCGCCTCCGTGGTGTAGTGGTTAGAGCGTCCGCCCGGAGAGCGGAAGGTCGCGGGTTCGATCCCCGACCGCGTCAAACCAAAAGACGTTAAAATATGGTACTTGTTGGTCCCTGCCTGGCGCTCGGCATTAATTGGTACATCAAGGACTGGTCGGCTCGGAGTCAGTATGATGTGTCTGAGTGGGGTATTCATGCTTCACTGCGGCATGGTATCTCAGTGGGCTAGCACTATAAAACCAGCTTCAGCCTGGGCTAGTACAAGCAGCCGCACATACACATACACACGCATGCACGTCGTCATATGAGCGAAATATTCTCAAGTACGACGTTAAACCCAATTTCACCTCAATAAAATCAGCATTAAGTACCTAGTAGCCTAGTGGTTAAAGCGTTCGCTCGTCACGCCGAAGACCCGAGTTCGATTCCCCACATGGGAACAATGTGTGAAGCCCATTTCTTGTGTCCCCCGCCGAATATTGCTAAAAGCGACGTAAAACTTAAACCCACTCACTAACATCCGTTTGCACTCTGCAAACCGTTATATTATATATACTGTTATGTTGTCCCAGGAACACCGTTCATGTACGTGCCATGATATATAGGTTCACTGTTGTTGTGTGTCGATCGCCAAGCTGAGACAACGAGTTTAACCCAAAGTCTGGACGTAAAAGATTCTGACACCAACAAACAACAAAGAGAAATCAATACAGATCAATACGAAGAACGTTCAATGTCAGTTCAAAACACCAGCCTCTACTGAATCCGAACAGAAACAATGTAACTCACTTACAACACATGGCCTTCCTACTGAATGTTTTATCATAAACCTCGTGTTTATGTCACAATCAATAACACGGTGTGATGTACACGCTAACCCAGCCTGCACCCCTAGCCTTGCATCAAGTCTGTACCGATGATAGGTCCAGGCAAGTCAAATTGTACTATCCCTAACACAGTCCAGACGAGCGGATAGTGCATCTGATGACGCCAGTCTCTTATAGGGGCAACTTGTATATAGATAGTTAAGTAGATAGATATAGAAACATCGACAGACATAGACACATACATAAATAGATAGATATAAATATATACAGATAGGTATATATGGTTAGGTAGAGACAGATAGTTAGAACTAGATAGATATATATATATACTGAGTCAAAAAAGAAACTTCACATTCTTTCTTCAGGGCACTATAAAAGAACAAGAGATGGTAAGATGGTTAAATTGTTATTATTTCATTGCTGAGATCTGTGTGATGTACTCGATACACTGACAGTGCCATAATCAATTCCATTAGGCTACACCGCCGTTCCAAAACATGGGTATACAGAATGTCAAGTCACAAGAATAAAAATGCGAAATTTCTCGGTTCAATATCGTGCATGGCCGCCCCGCGCATTCACCACTGCCAAACACCGTCTCCTCATCGACTGCCTGATGCTTGTGAACACGTGGTTGGGGATTCTGCGCCATTGTTCTTGCAAGGCAACGCCAAGTTCCTGCAACTTCTGAGGTTGGTTCCTAAGACCACGAAGCCTTCTCCCAAGTGCATACCAAACGTGCTCTATTGGATTAAGGTCAGGGGCCTTCGATGGCCAGTCCATGACGTTGATTCCACCGTTTTGAAGGAAACTTCGTGTCAACATCGCGGTATGCGGCCGAGCATTATCATGCTGGAACTGTAGACCTGGGCCATGAGCCGCCATGAAAGGAACGAGTTCAGGGGTGAGCACCTGGTTGCGGTAAGCAGCAGCTGTGAGGTTTCCACGGATGACCAGAAGTCGGGAACGGTTGTTCCCACAGAAAGCACCCCACACCATGCAACTTCCGCCCCCGAATCTGTCGACTTCCTGTACACAACATTGGGCATACCGTTCACGTCGTCGTCTCCAGATTCTATGCCTGCCGTCCGCGAATCTGAGGGTAAACCTGGATTCATCGCTAAAGACGACTCGATTCCAGTCTCTCTGGGTCCATCGGAGGTGACGTTGGGCCCACAGCAGACGTTGACGTTGATGAAACGGCGTCAATATTGGCCCACGATATGGACGTCGAGAATGGAGATTGGCAGCCCGCAACCGATTTCGAATGGTCTGTGAGGACTTTCGACCTCTAAACATCTCAGCCCTGGTTCGTGTAGCCGGCAGAAATTTGTCACGTAGGTGACGTAGGACGATTTGACGGTCTTCTGCTCGTGACGTCACACGTGGACGACCCGACCTTGGGCGATCAGAAGAGGTGCCAGTTTGTTGTAGACGACCTCGCAAGTCATACACAGTACGACGGCTGCATCCCATTGCTCTTGCGACGTCAATAATTGATCTTCCCGCTTGATCTACCGTTAGAACTGTGGTTTAAAAGTGTTTTTTCAATTCTTGAGGCCAATGCAAACACGTGCATATGAAGAAAACTTCGATGCGAAGATCACGTGATCGACTGCACGTGCAAAACCTGATTTGGCACTAACGTCATTTGCACGACGAATGGATGGGTTTGAGTGGGTTTTGCTAACGTTTTTCTAGAGTCGAACGATAGGGATCCCATTTCGGATACATAGATGTATCATCAGAGAAAAAGTATTCATTATTTTTCAAATTACATTTTGTGAAGTTTCTTTTTTGACTCACTATATATAAATAGTTCTAACTATCTGTCTCTACCTAACCATAGGGATATATATATAGTTGTATTTATATATAGATTATAGATAGTTGTAGATAGAAACAGATAGATATATATTGTTGGGTAGATAGATAGAGATAGATAAATAGAGATAAATGGATAGATATAGACAGATATAGAACTAGACATAGAAATACATATAGTTAGGTAGATGTCGATACATGTAGATGGAAATAGATAGATTGATAGATGTAGACTTTATATAATCTATAAATTAACATTTAAACTGATTACTGATCTCAGCTTTAGAGAACGTGTGTAAGTCTAGACGTGCCAGCGCCAAACAGCAGGACAGGTTATAAACTGTTCACTGTGTGCTGTCGGGATCAGATAATCGGCTCTGTGTTAACCGTCTTACATCACCCTTCCATTAGGCTAAACACATACTTTACTGGATAAGTTTAGACCTTGGGATAGACTAGGATAATATTTACGTTTCTGCTTTAATTACACAGACAACAAAACGATAGTGGAAAGAGGTATCGCTGCCGTTCTAAGCGACATGACGACCCATTATTCGCACGTGATTCGCGGGAAGATCTCGCGTCACTGCTTGAGATTTTACACTGCTTTAAGCAATTTAATAGTTCAGTAACAACATGGCACCCACTGTGGTAGGATAACACAGACAGCTCTGTGATCAAATGTAAAACCGTATCCCCTTGTTAACAGCTTTACCAATAGTCAGTGAGGGTACAACGAGATACAATCACCCAGGCCACACATGTAACTCAATCAACCACACATGTAACTATCTAGGGGTTAATTCCATTACACATCGTTGTTACAAGTTCATTTATACTATTTCACCTGTATCAAAAGTTGTCCTTGAGGCCTCGAACATAATATATTGGCGTAAACGTCAAGCCCTTGAACGGAAAAGTTATTACCTGTATAGACTTTGATCTAAGCATGTGCAAATGTCATCAACGTTCGAACTTCGTCAGGTTTGGTTGAGGACTTGTTTTTATCTTTCTGTCTCGGTTTACCACAGTACCTAAATTACCTGTCACCTTGAGAAATGGACACAGCTTTGTTCTCGACTCTTCTTTGGATCTTATTTGATTATTACCTGTCAGTGTTTAAAAATAAAATTTTCATGCCACATGTCTAAGGAAAAAGACAAGAGCAGGAATAGCGGTCTGACAGTGGATATGTGGCAAAAAATTACTATGAACTCATTATGACAAATTCATGTTTTAACAATTGTAAAATACGTTAAATGTGACTAAAATGTACCATTTGTTTCAGCTCGAGTCGCCATGACGACGGAGAAGTTAACGATGCATGCATTGAAGCAGAATGACAACGTCCACCCCACCTTCAGAGCTTCGACGTCGGGTGCGGGAAGTAAAGAGGTACGTTAAACCAATACAATCAAAACAACATTTCATCTCTCCTACAAATAATATGTAATATGTATCATTCGATGGCATGTATGAAGCCTATTTCTGGTATCCACCGCCGTGATATTGCTGGAATATTGCTAAAAGCGGCGTGAACGTAAACTCACTCACTCAAATAATACTGACAATGTCTTCGTGGAGTATTACATGCGACCTCTCCCAGTCTCACGCCATTTATGTCACTAACGCGACCAATTGTTAAATGTCCTCCACATGTCTACCATTAAACATTCTGAAAGCTTTATTAAGAATTTACACGCTGGAAACGTGAGCATGAAAGAGCGAGTTCACTCGATGGAACCTCAAACATTGTAACATGGGAACACCAAAGGCGGAGTTGCTGCTTAAGTGAAAGCAAGGAATTAGCACACACTGTACATTGTTAAGACGAGACGCCCTTGAAAATGAATATGTGTTCATTTGAACCAAACCTGTTTCAGGTCATGTAATTTTAGGTTTTTGTTTATTTGCGGATTAACGTGACACTCAGCAATATCCCAGCTTATGACGACGGACTGTACATAATCAAACCCGGACCAGATAATCCACTGACTGGTATCACGAACAACCTCCCATTCCGTCGCCATGAACAACTGGACCTCCCGACTCATTACGTCACGTGGTATGACCTTCACATGTTTCTGGGGGCTAGTTCCACCCCCGCAGTCACCCTGGCCCCATCCCCACAGCGTTAGTGAGTGGTTTCACTGAAGATGGTACTGGGCAGGATGGCTATCCTATGCGTCCAGATAGTGTGTGTTGTTGACTCTGAAACCCCTTCCCCTACAAACGGTAACTATAAAGATGAAGGTAGCATTTTACATAATGGACGAGTATGTTCAGTCACTCTAGTCCTGATGTTCAAGTAGAAATACAGGTATGACAGACTAAAACACAGGTAAAAACCTCGGCTATCCGAACGGTCCGCAGTAAAACTATCACGCGAGGTATCCACAATAACATGGTTTCACTATAACAGGTGTGAGTTTATATTGTTAACACTTGTTTAACAGAGATGTCTTGATGTCTTGCTTGATGTCTTCATGTCTTCATGTCTTGATGTCTTGCCGGCTATAGTAGCCACGTTAATGTCATGTGCATATTTTGACACCTATCGTTTATAACTCTACTGTATTCACTCTTCAAGGTCGAATATAGCATTAGTTGGACCGATTTAAAATATGTCTTAAATTTCATACCCACATCTATTAAAAGAGCATATAAAATACATTATGAACAATTTATTTAGTTTCATATTTAGTTTCCAGTTGGCAGTAATTATCAATATTAGATTTACTGTTAACGTTTTATCTCATGTCAAAGCTACAATATTTATGACGCATGTTCACGTCTCTCGGGGTCTGAAACTGGGAGTTTATTGCAGACATTACAAATAAACTGTTATAAATCATATATCAAATGAGTGGTAGCCCCTACTTGAAGTCTCATTCCCGGTGACTCCACCTGCCGACGAGATTTGACACGCACAAGGCATTAGGTATAAGGGTAAACATCGTTCACTGACTTATGGCGTGTTTGGAACTAAAAGCTACAGAACTTTCTGCCTAGAAGGAAATAGTTAACAAAATGTCAATTATTAAAGGACGCGGAATATTTGATATGCGGAAGACCATTGTAAGTACTATATTTATATTTTCCTCAGCTTCTATCTCTTAAGGTGTTCACTTGTAATAATATCATATATAATGTATCGCAAATGCGAAACAATTAATTTGTTTCATTAACAATATTTGCACTTTGAAACACTGTTTGACGTCAATCACGTGCAGGTGAGGTGAGGTGAAATTGGGTTTTACGTCGTGCTTGAGAATATTTCGCTCATATGACGACGTGCATGCCTGTGTATGTGGATGTGAGGCTGCTTGTACTAGCCCAGACTGAAGCTGGATATATAGTGCTAGCCCACTGAGATACCATGCCGCAGTGAAGCATGAATACCCCACTCAGACACATTATACTGACTCCGAGCCAACCAGTCCTTGTTGTACCCATTAATACCGAGGCAGGGACCAACAAGTACCATATTTTAACGTCTTTTGGTATGACGCGGTCGGGGATCGAACCCGCGGCTTTCAGCTCTCCGGGTGGACGCTCTAACCACTACACCACGGAGGCGGTCCAATCACGTGCAGAGTATGTGATAAATTAAAACTGCATCAAATAACATCAGGTGGTAATATAACTTTGCTGTTGGGTAGTTCGCGCGCTTGCCTGTGACGTGCTAAGCGATTTTTGTTTCATATTCGAATTCCGCCAGGGTCATTGTTTGAAACCGTTTATCAATGCAAATGTATCTTATAAAAGTTATTAGTCCAATTACAGGAAGTACTTTCTCTATAGCCCAGGATAATTCACATGTTTCATTAAAACATATGTTGCACTTTTGCTCTTATAGCATACTAGAGATGGAGTGTGTGCGCGCGTGTGCTTGCGTGTGTGAAGAGTTAATGAGAAATGTTTAACCGATGTTACGAAAGGAAGGGGACACAGTATATTACTTTCTGTAATCATCATGGGACGAAATAACAGCACACACACAACCCTTACCCCCAGACTTACACCCCTCTGACCCCCAGATACTGCACGTAGGGTAAGGTGCTCGCACGTCACCACCCATCCAAAATGACTGTACTCTCTGTATATCAATGTTCGTGTCTACACAAAGTACAGCAATGGCCTCTGTAGCTGCGGGACAACCAGGCTGAATTCAGACTATTTCTTCAGTAGCTGTTCTCTCAACCCATTAACCCACTTACAACATGTAAATAGAGCTGTTGTACCCAGATAGGGACAGTTACTGATAATCAGAAGACACTTCGCCCTTAACCCTTGACCTTTGACCAATGATCTCAAGCCAATACCCTGCATTTAAATCTTTATTAGATGTAAAGTTTTCTGTTTCAAATGTACATTTTAAAGAATATAGACGATATTTACGTTTACTTACACTTCATCGCCTATCCCTTCTCCGTTATGGAAGACGTAAAGATGATAATTATCCCTCAACAATATGTAAAATGTGTAACAATAACATCCCTGAGGAGGAATTACATTTTATTTTTGTCTGTGATGGGTATGTAATGTTACGAAGTATATATTTACCCAATTTTGTTCAATGTCCAACTATCATTAAGTTTAACAAAATATAGCAATGTAATGACACGATTATTCTTCTGAAAACGGTGCAGTTTATTAAGTATGCCCTCGTGATCAGATCAAAAGTGTGTAAATAATGTATAAGATGTATATTGCCTTGTCAAAAATTAAGTTTTGTATCATATGATTGTACATGGTCCGATGGCCTACTTACGAAAACTATACTCATTCAATTCAGTACCCTGTAATCCAGGTCTGTAGAGGTCGCCGTGGTCACTTTCTCCTCCACCCTCGTTCACCCAACACATGGCTTATTTTGAGTGGCAGCACGACGACGAGAGTCGTTGTGGAGGTTATCACCCATTTGACAGACCCTGAACTAGAAGGTTAATTAGGGTAACACCTACGGGTATAATGGAACAGTCCACTGTTTAGTGAGTAGAGCAGGGTGAGCCTGAAACAGGTTCGTTACTGAGAAGTTTGACTGTGGGTAAATAGAACTTTGTTGTGATTAAATGCTAAATGATTTCTCTTTTAAAAATTGTTTTTACTATCAATTACTATCGAATATAAAAACAGGTTTGTCACTGAGAGGTTTCATTGTGTTTATTGATAGAAAAGACCCCTCCCAATAATAGCATATGTACAACAGAAGTTAACTGAGAAAACGTTTTGTTGGAGAGATATAGATATGTACATATTTGAAAACATTCTGATTTGCAGTAAATGAGACACCTGCATTGCCATGTAAGATACGATTAATACCAATCAGTGTTCTAATTTTAACAATACTTTCTAAAGATTGTAACAGACTGAGTTTATGTCTTTGAGTAGTATACAATGGACATTCAAGGAAGTAATGAAGAACATTCTCAAATGCATGGCCACATTGACATGATGCGTCATATTTTAAATATTTATTGTAAACAAATCGTAACCTGCTCACTGAACCGTAAATGTTGTTGTTTTAAAGTGTCTGCGAACTGGCTGTCTGCGTGTTGGGAGGACACCGTTGTGGATGTAATTTATATTAGTTATGGTTATATGCTCCATTTACGTGTCTGTTGCCGTCGTTGAGGCACGCTGAACATTTGTTTATATATTCAGTAATTATCACGTATAACGCTGATCATTTGTTTATATACTCAGTAATTACCACGTATAACGCTGTGACTGTTTCAGTTGGTGATGTAGTTGCAAGATACTTACATCGTTGCTGAACGAGTATTGACAAATCACGAAAATATACTCTTTTATGAAAATGTATGTGGGCTTGCTGATGATAATTAATGGCGACGTGTCTAACTTATTTGATCCAACATTTGCAACTCAATTACATGAATGGAAATAGACTTGCCAACTCAGAGATATAATACCTTTTCCATACAACTGGACCTTTGGCTTTGATTCGAGGATACACGCCGTAGTGAGAAAATGCATATCTGGAATATCGGTGTCGCTAACCCTGACATTTGCGGAATCACTTGACATCACTCAGGTCTCGTTAGAGTTTCTCTTTGAATGTTCAAACATTCTTTAATACCAGCTACATAATACGACCTATTATATATATGCCTTTTCGTCTTGTCTTTGAATCTGTCAGGGGCGGTGCGGTTGCCTAGTGGTTAAGGCTTTCGCACGTCACGTCGGAGATGGGCACAATGTGTGAAGACCATTTCTGGTGTCCCCCGCCGTGATATTGCTGGAATATTGCTAAAAGCGGCGTACAAATAAACTCATTCATTGATTTAATCTGGAAGGCAATCTTTCAGTTGATCAAATATTCTTCATACGCTAGACATACTGGCCTGGCGCACCATGCTGTATTTGTGTCTGTCTATGTGATATTGACCACGGAGGAAAGGTCATATGTAACGTCAGATTGATTTCCGTGTATATTCGCAAATCATGTTAACGGACACACAAGCACGTGTACGCCAGCTAACGGTCGACTTAAAAGAGTATCGGATGGTAATCATGTGTGACCTGGCTCATAGGGTGTCGTAGTAACCGATGGCGTGAGGCGTTGTTCATGGCGTCGACGTTCAAAGGCCGTTGGAATTATACCGACTATACCGACTGCTCTAATTTGTCACAAATTAAATTTATTTTCCTTTATATTCCAGCTGCCTCGTCAAATGTCCCGATCGGAGCTGGATGTCCAACCCAAGAGAAGAAGCCGCGCCATCAGTAACAGCGAGAGCTCCACCAAATCTGTGGCACAATCTACAAAACCGAAGATGTCCATCTTCAAGCTGGTAGCTGCGACGCGGGCTTGGCACAAACTCGCCACCAAGAACAGCAAGTCCCGGAGTTCGGAAAAACCGCCTCCCAAGCTGGAGAACACATTCAGGCTGGAACCGGATGAACGGAAGAGGTTTATGCCCCGCAAGGTCGAGAAGCTCTTGGCTGACGTCCTTGCCGCGAGGCTAGACAAGGTTACGTACGACCCACGCACGTGTAGGGAGATCACAACAGATATATCGACTCATATCAAGGCCAGGGTGAAGGCGATGGACTTCCCGCGATATAAGATCGTCAGTAATGTTATCATCATGGAGAACAAAGGTCAAGGGGCAGAGGTCGCCAGCAGGTGCGTGTGGGATGCCAATTCAGACTCATTCGCCACCCACACATACAGGAACCACTCTCTAGTAGCTATTGCATATGTCCATGGAGTTTACTATGAATGAAGGCAATATATGTCACTGACTGAAATTTGGATGCCTTAAATCCTGCCACAACTAAACCAACTCCTGAAACAATGAGGTCAAGGTTAAGGTCATGGAACTCTTTTTAGCAGTATTGGATACGAACGTTTGAGACAGGTTCTGGAACAACCTTGCACATGAGTTCATGGTTGGACATAAATTTGTTAGATTTTACCAAGACATCTGATTGTTGGTATATGATTCTACAATTGTATTATATGACTTTGCGAAAAGTATTCCCATTTTCATCACCCGAAATGCCAACAAGGCAAAACCTCAACTCCACCTCCACATTCCCTATGAAATGGCGAGCACTTATTTAGCTGACTGTATGTTGAGACTGGGTACAAAGACTGGCTATTTCAGTGAACTGCGTTTACGACAAACACGCTTCTAACGAACTGGAGAATAGAACGAACTGTCGAATATAACGAACTGCTTTTTCGGTCCCGGGCACCTGCTGTGTATGTTGGTCGAGATACTTATCGCCGTAGTTTACTGAACACCACTTTTATTTATAAGCCACAAAAACCTTGCCATAATCTTAGACACAGAATAGGAAGATAAAAATACATCTCACGAGAAACGTTTACGCAAGATATGGTGACTATTCACAGATTATGAACTCATGAGATGCAGTATATGACAAGACTTACATTCAACCCCACAGCCCAGACGCATAAAGCAATTTTAGCGCTAGAATTCTTTTAACTCTTAAACTGCATACTAACACCGCTCATGGCGCTAAGATAGCTTTCTGCAGATGGGTCTTGATCTGCTCCTTGCTGGAGACAAGACTGAAATATGGATATTCAGTGACGCGTTTACATACAAGCTGGCGTGCAACTGTACTCATGGGGTTAAACTTTCATGTTTTCTTATTGTCTTTTGTTACGATCAGGCGTTAAAACATCCTGCTGCATCTCGCAACATCGTCCTCCGTGAGTCCGTAGAAAAAGCGGAAGCCTTATCGTTTATTCCAGAAATGCTTGTAAAAGTGAAACTATATTTGCCTGTAGCTTGATAAAAATCATAATTGACCACTGGACTCGTGGATGTCTTTAAAGCATGTGTTGTGGCTCCCCGAAACAGTTATTGGGTTCTTCATTTCACAGAAGAGCATCGGTGTCTGCAAGCTACCATTGTCTCTGTAATTACAGTTACCAACGTCCCACATTAGACGGTGATTTCTATACTATCTTGACAGCTTTGCGCGTGTACGTCAATGTGATAACTGGTATATACTTTTATTGTTAAAATATAACCGCCGAACACTACTGACGTGCGTGTTTCACGCTCATTCAAAATTGTATCTTTATATTTATCATATATATTTTACATGTATTCTCGCCATTTATATGTTCCCACATATGACGTATGATATTTTGATAAATTGTTCTTCGTGCAACCTGTAAACACATTTGATCCATTTAAACTCCAATCGATTATAAAACTTTCAACAACAGCTATCTCATGGCTGGCTGCGCACCACATACATAATCAAGACCATGGTCGGATTCGGGAATTTTGAAAAGGGTGGGTGGGGAGTCCAGGGGTTTCGAACCCCTGGTTCTTTCCCCATTGGCTCAGCCAACGCAAAAAAAAATTTCGAACTTAAGTCAATTTTCAAAGGGGTGTATCATACACACACACACACACCCTCTGGATCCGCCAAAGAGTGAATGAGTTGGTTTTTACAGCGTTTTAACAATATTCATGTCACAGCTGGGGACACAGAGCTGCAGCTACGCCTGAAAGTTACTTCGCCCACAAAATAATTCTTTACTACTGATACAAGCCACGAAATTTGAATGTTGAAACTAAGCAAAACTTCTGATTTTTATGTTAACACAAAAAGAAAACATTGACTTGACCTTTAGATTTGAATAAGATACTGTATCATTGTCGGCCACAGTTTTCTAGCCAGTCGACACTGGTTTCATCATTAAATTTGCTAAGCAAAGATTACAAAAAATAGATGAGAATAAGACATTGTCGGCATGACACTGGTTTCATCATTAAGCTGCTAATATGACGAACATTTATATCAGGCCATAATCTTAAATAATTCAAAAGCGTATTATAACTTAGCAAGTGGAAGATAATGATATATTTACAAAATGGCGCGTGGTCCTGTACTCAAAGCTCAGGTCACAAATCGGTGAAGTTAAGCAGCGTCGAGCTCGGAGAATCCTTGGATGGGTGACCGTGTTTGGCAGCTTGACTCCTGAGAGTTTCTAGGACTTGAATCCTGCCCCACAACGAAGCACATGTGACACATGTGGTCTCACCTTAGACAAGTGAGTTTGTTCAAAATTGTCTCTGTTCACCCAGCAGGAAAATGGGTACCGGTGGAAAAGTCATATGACTATAACCTTCTAGCACCTAACAGACAGCTTGGGTTATCCGGGGTAATAATGTGCTGTGCCTTGATTGTTAGCGCTATGAGCATACCTAGTGTGGAGTTTGGCACTATATAAATGGACACATTATTATTATTATTATTAAAATGACCCCATGAAAATTCACGAGCCAGTCGGGCCAGTCACTGTGCATATTTACTGGCTCGACTGGATTTTTACTAGACACGGGCTAGTGGGCCAGTGGTTATTTCGCACAATGCAGACTATATGAAAACTGAACTGAAGTTTAAATAGATCAGTATAGTATGTCAAATTCGTCTTGTTTCATTTTAGCGACCATTAAACATGGATGCATTTTTTCATTTCATACCGGCTACGTCAGGGCGCGTGACCTCTATGTGGAAGAAAAATCCGGACTGGATGCAGGTCTTATGCTCTGATCATTGTTTTAAGGTGTTAAATCACAGGCATGGTGCTGAGAACCCAAGGATCGTAATCGGTATGAAATGTGGATTTGAACCCATGGTCAATGTGGTCCGACACTACTGTGGAAATGTTGTGAAAAAACGCAGTTCGAATATCATCTGGAATTTCTGTTGTCTGTTGTCTTTTCAAACAAGGTTTAAGTAAAAGATCGATGTAATCGTATTTTAGTTGTCCTGATGAATGTTTAAGTACAAGTATGGCCAGGGCTTACTTGCCCAGAGCGATGTACACGCCGATTATCGTAACATAGACTTAAGGCGGTCCTAGCGCTACGATCGCTTCCTGAAAGTGGGCCCCGAAATTTGCTGTGCAGGCTTGTGCCTCCTTGTAGTACAAGAAACGATCTCGGGTTCGAATCCCACAATCACCCTAGTTATGCTTCAGGATAGTCAGGGGCGGTGGGGTAGCCTAGTGGTTAAAGCGTTTGCTCGTCACGCCGAAGACCCGGGTTCGAATCCCCACATGGGTACAATGTGTGAACCCCATTTCTGATGTCCCCCGCTGTGATGTTGCTGGAATATTGCTAAAAGCGGCGTAAAACCAAAACTCAGTCAGTCAGTCAGTCAGGGAAGTCAGTCACCACCACACCGTGATGCCATGTTACCACGTGGTCATTCGTTTATAAATTTTGTTGTGCTTTTTACGGATTTGGATCACACATACCAACTATCCTCAAGGACTGTTGCAAAACGGTTTCCTATATCAACTATACCGCGATGCCATGGACCACTGGTCATTCGTTTATAAATTTTGTTGTGCTTTTACGGATTTGGATCAAGGAATATCCTAGTGCCAAAAGCCCTTACATGCCTCGGACACTACAATCACTGGTAGTGGAGCAATGAATTTTTAAAAAATGATATACACTGTACTCGTATCATGGAATTGATCAGTGATCAACCGCATGAGCATCAATCTACGCAATTGAGATATGACATGTGTCAACCAAGTCAGCGAGCCTGACCACCCGATCCCGTTAGTCGCCTCTTATGACAAGCATGGGTTACTGAAGATCAATTATATCTTCACGGGTCACTTAAAGGAACACCAGGGTTCATTATGATGACATGAGTAAAATGTTACTTTCCATTTAAAAGGATTCTGAGCATAGCTTGTTATGTTTTTTCTGAAATGTGTTTTAATTTATGATTACAATAATAAGTCCTTGGAACAATTACCTGGTTCATAAATATTATCCGCAGAGCAGTTTGAGTTAATGCATCTACAAATAATCTCCCTGTTCTGGTGGTTGTTCGATTCCGTGACCATTTCAAAGTGAAAGACGTTTCATCTGGTTACCCTGCCTGACATGTGACATTACAAGCATAAACACGTAAATAAGTCTGTATGCACGTGTCAGACTTCCATGTGTCAGAGCTCCTTACCACAAATTGTAATCATGTGTTAGAGCTCCTCCTATTCACACGTTGTAGTTGTATGTCAGAGCTCCTCCGTATCACACGTTCTAGTTGTATGTCAGAGCTCCTCCGTATCACACGTAGTAGTCATGTGTCAGAGCTCCTCCGTATCACATGTTGTAGTCATGTGTCAGAGCTCCTCCGTATCACATGTTGTAGTCGTGTGTCAGAGCTCCTTCGTATCACACGTTGTAGTCATGTGTCAAAGCTCCTCCGTATCACATGTTGTAGTCATGTGTCAGAGCTCCTCCGTATCACACGTTGTAGTCATGTGTTAAAGCTCCTCCGTATCACACGTTCTAGTTGTATGTCAGAGCTCCTCCGTATCACACGTTGTAGTCGTGTGTCAGAGCTCCTTCGTATCACACGTTGTAGTCATGTGTCAAAGCTCCTCCGTATCACATGTTGTAGTCATGTGTCAGAGCTCCTCCGTATCACACGTTGTAGTCATGTGTTAAAGCTCCTCCGTATCACACATTGTAGTCATGTGTCAGAGCTCCTCCGTATCACACGTTGTAGTCATGTGTTAAAGCTCCTCCGTATCACACGTTGTAGTCGTGTGTCAGACCTCCTCCTTATCACACATTGTAGTCCTGTGTCAGAGCTCCTCCTTATCACACGTTGTAGTCGTGTGTCAGAGCTCCTCCTTATCACACATTGTAGTCATGTGTCAGAGTTCCTCCTTATCACACATTGTAGTCATGTGTCAGAGCTCCTCCTTATCACACGTTGTAGTCGTATGTCAGAGCTCCTCCTTATCACACATTGTAGTCGTGTGTAAGAGCTACTTACTATCACACGTTGTAGTCATGTGTCAGAGCTTCTCCGTATCACAAGTTGTAGTTGTATGTCAGAGCTCCTCCTATTCACACGTTGTAGTCATGTGTCAGAGCTCCTCCGTATCACACGATGTAGTCATGCGTCAGAGCTCCTCCGTATCACACGTTGTAGTCGTGTGTCAAAGCTCCTCCGTGTCACACGTTGTAGTCATGTGTTAAAGCTCCTCCGTATCACACGATGTAGTCATGTGTTAAAGCTCCTCCGTATCACATGTTGTAGTCGTGTGTCAAAGCTCCTCCGTATCACACGTTGTAGTCATGTGTTAAAGCTCCTCCGTATCACACGTTGTAGTCGTGTGTCAAAGCTCCTCCGTATCAGACGTTGTAGTCATGTTAAAGCTCCTCCGTATCACACGTTGTAGTCGTGTGTCAGAGCTCCTCCTTATCACACGTTGTAGTCATGTGTTAAAGCTCCTCCGTATCACATGTTGTAGTCATGTGTCAGAGCTACTCCTTATCACACATCGTAGTCATGTGTCAGCTTCTTACTATCACACGTATAATGTGTCAGGGCTTCTGATAAAACACTGTAGTCATGTGTCAGAGCTCCTCCTTATCACACATTGTAGTCATGTGTCAGATCTCCTCATCACACACTGTAGTCCTGTGTCAGAGCTCCTCCTTATCACACACTGTAGTCCTGTGTCAGAGCTCCTCCTTATCACACGTTGTAGTCGTGTGTCAGAGCTCCTCCTTATCACACATTGTAGTCATGTGTCAGAGTTCCTCCTTATCACACATTGTAGTCATGTGTCAGATCTCCTCCTTATCATGCATTGTAGTGTGTCAGAGCTCCTTCGTATCACACAGTGTAGTCGTGTATCAGAGCTCCTTATAACACCTTAAAGTCATGTGTCAGAGATCCTCCGTATCACACATTGCAGTCATGTGTTAGAACCCCTTATCACACATTGTAATCACGTGTCAGAGCTACTCCTTATCACACACTGTAGTCCTGTGTCAGAGCTCCTCATCACACATTGTAGTTATGTGTCAGAGCTCCGTATCACACATTGTAGTCATGTGTCAGAGCTCCTCCTTATCACACATTGTAATCACGTGTCAGAGCTCCTTATCACACGTTGTAGTCATCTGTCAGAGCTCCTTATAACACATTGTAGTCATGTGTCAGAATGCCTTGACATGACCTGATTTGAATAGCATTAATACACAGAAAAAAACAAGACATGATGTACTCATAAAAATTGTTTATTAAAAAACAAGATAATGTTATTATCTGCACCATTCCTCAGAATCTACATGCTACACAGTAACAACCTGGAATATCACAGTTACCACATCTGTCAAAGAAGCCTGTGCAGATGTTCTGAGTTCTCAAGGCATCATGATCCACAGGCAAGACAGACTGATGGTGGCACACACAACAGCCTTGGGCAGCACTACCGTACATACCGCATCCATAACATTGATTACTATTGAAACCTCTGAACAAACATTACTGTGTTTACCATTTGACGTGGCAACATTTCAGCTATAGGACAACAGCCTACACATAATTGAGTCTGGGCCAGACAATCCAGTGATTGATGTTATGAGTAACATACTGACAGGGTACACTGACAGGGTACACTGACATGGTACACTGACATGGTACACTGACAGGGTACACTGACAGGGTACACTGACATGGTACACTGACAGGGTACACTGACAGGGTACACTGACATGGTACACTGATATGCCAACACAACCACAGTACCACAGTATATCTACAAAACAGATTATTAAGGATATATATCTGAACTTTACAAGTTTCACTACCTTATCATCTGCACAGTTCAATAGGTCACCACAAGAACCTACATTTGGAACTGTTGGAGACAGAAATACAAATCATGAACGGTTATGTTATCTTGCCTTCAATTAAGATACAAGCTAGGAGCAGTGAAATGGTCAAGATATTACCTGCCACAGCCCTGCTGGCAAGAATATTGGTCCACAGCAACCTATGGATAATTGAAAGAGGTCACTAAACCAATGGAGATAACTGGCTCAGTGACTGGTTGAAGGCATGTCATCACATGGTATCAGGTTACTGCTCATGGCATCAATTACTGGATTGTCTGGTCCTTACTGGGGTATTTACGGATTGCATTCATATAACTGGGGTATTAGTGTTGGGGTGTGCTGTCCACAACACTAAAGTCTGTAGAGACCAACATTCCGTTATTATATCTAAATAAGATATGTCATCGTAACCTGCCGTAATGGATTGGTGCTCATGACATCGACCACTATTTTGCCTCATTACAAGCCACTGTGATACAACACTAAAAGCGAGTCATCTTGCTCTGACAGTGTCCAAAATTCAGTCAGTTTTCAATATCCGGGTTCTGCTCACATGTTGAAAGGCATGAGGGAGTGGCTTCAAACATTGTACCCACATAGAGAAACAGCACCAGCTACTGGACTCCAAAGTTTAGTCTGCTTTCAATATCATGGTTATGACAAGACCCTATAATGCTGAATCTTGAACACTGTGGCCACAGCATCACATTGTAATCATGAAGACGTGGCTTCACAAACTGTACCCATATGCAGAAACAAACCCAGCTACTGGACTAGCAAACACTCACACCAGTGTACTACCAACACCACTAATTTCAACAACACCTAGCACCATGTGATATAGCACTACCATTGTAAATCTGTGATATGATGTTCAATGATCTGACTCTCACCTTCTGTCCAGCTCTAGACATTGTGTGTTACTTCTTATGAGTAATTTGGGTGAAACATGAAATTGATTGAACTGTGATCTCTCCCTGACCCTTCATATACCACCTTATACAATCCCTTTACATTGAAACAAATCCAATGTTTATATCCACTTGAAACATGCAAACTGACAAATATATCTTTTGATTCTAAAGCTCTGAGGGTCTAAAGCATGATTGGAGAAATGCCATCTCTCACCCGTGTAGAAAGTCAGGCCAAGAATGAAGCTGCATTGCTTCATGGTATCGAGGTCTGATAATGTCATGTTTTCTTCAGGATTTTTTTAGCAAAAAACACTGAATACATGAAGGTTTAGCTACATACATGTATGTCTCTGTCACCCTTGTGTAAACAACAAATTCATTTCAGCTGAAATATCGATTAAAATGTTAAAACTCTGTTTTACACTGAGAAAAGAGGTAGGTGAGAGATGAAATAGTGTGAGTGAGTCTGGTTTTATGCCATGTTTATTAATATTCCAGCAATATGATGGCAGAGAACACCAGACAGGGCTCACACATTGTACCTATGTGGAGAATCAAACCAAACACTGCATTAAAGATTATACAACATAAATAGTGACATGACGTCTTTTGTTGACAGGTGACAAGGAAGTGGCGTTCAACATTAGTGCAGGGATTTACACGACGTCAATTTCTGCGTCCTATACACATAAAAAATTGACAATGGACGCAACAAAATTTCTAAGTGCATCCACAGGACTCAGAAAAAGTCCAATACTTTTGGTAAAAATTCCAATCAAGTGTCAATACGTTATCACTGAGTTTGCTACTAGCTGGGTTATGGTATTATTTCCAATGTAATTACTGTAATGATCATGATACACAATACAATATCAGTATTGATAATAATATCTAAGTGTCTGGGACCCCCATTTTGTTGTCCAGGACCCCCTGAAAATTAAGAGTATGAGTCCCAGGGACCCTCAAATACAGGACTCCAGGTAAATCCCTGGTACACAGCAACATGACACAGATAATAACAAGCTTGTAAGTACACACATCACAGACTTAAATCACAATGGAAATAATGTATCAAATACAATTATAATTCTAATCTCACTAGTGATCATTGTAAATTGTTTACAGTATAATGCCACATAGTAAACAGAAGACTACGCTCCATGGACTGTAAGAGTTAATATATCCATGTATCAAGTTGTTGATGGACTGAACTATAACAGAAAATTAAAAATTTGTTATGAAACTAGAAATGATCAGGATGATGGAACACTCACATCTGTAGTGGAGATAAACTAGCCGCTACATTGCATATGCTATGTTACTACAAAAAGTATGTAAAATGCATAACATTTGATTTTTTTGTTGATCCTGATTTTGATGTAATCTTTTTGTCCAATTTGTGAATCATCACAGACTGGTCTTTGTTGAATGAAGTTATATAATCATGTTAAAATAATATCTACATCTGTGGAGACTAGATATGAGATGTCGTTTCAACATTATCAAGACAAGCTCTCTAGCATGAGGAAACTGAACCCATACTGGTTCTTGTTGAAAGAGGAAATATAAATACTAGTATATTAAAGTTAACATAGTATCTACATTTGTGGAGACAGTTGCATGGTGCGACCAGCATCAAGACAGGTTCTCCTGTGTGAGGAAGTCAGACAGGATGTTGATGAACTCCGGCGTGTTTTCCGAATGGACCCAGTGTCCTGCACCAGGGATGTGGGTGATGTCCGCCATCGGAAACAGAGTCTTGATCTCGGGGATTGTTTCGGAACTGAAGCACAAATACACACATAAGGCATGGCATGGGAGTGGTCAAAACAGACATGGAACCATGGTGGGTGTCATGCACATTGTCTCAACATACATATCTGTGAAGCTGTTCCTGTTTGTTGTTTAAAGCTGTATTCCAACTTTCCCGCTAAACGACATTAGTCCAAAGAATAAAGTCTAAACAAGACAATCCACGGTCTAAGTAAACTTAGGCTCAGTATTATTCGTTACACTGCTATACTGAGTCTAACAAAACCTAGTAGAAGATCACCGTCAGCTAACCTTTGAGCGACCTATGACCGTCCAATCAAACGCGAGACGGCTGAAGGGATTTAACCTATCAGACAACGACTACTTGTTAGGGTTCGACGGGACTTACAAATCGGTTTTTGATTTTTCTCTTCCCTGGTCATGACACTGATCTATCAACAAACGAAAGTCCGCATAAAACACATATATTTGACCTGCAGTATAAACGCTTAGTGGTTTCTAATGACATGGTTACTACTTGCTTATATTTTCGAAGGATGACATCCTTGAATATTGACAAAAACGCTATTTTCAGCGACTGTCTACTAAGCGATCGTGCGGAAAATAATGTTCGAGTTTTTTAGGTAAAGGTTCAAACGGTATGTGAGAATGTTAACTTTAGCGATATGGTAAGCTGTGTTCTGATTGGTCAGTCCAAAAGGTTAGCTGACGTGACCTTCTACAAGGTTTTGTTAGACTCAGTATAGCAGTGTAACAAATAATAGTGAGCCTAAGTTTACTTAGACTGGACAATCCAGTGATGACATCATGAACGCTGACATAGTTAAGACAAGATGACCGACGGCCTGACCACAAGGCCCAGTCAGACGCTTCTCACAGCAAACATGGGTTGCTGAAGACCAATTCTAACCTAGATCTTCATAGCGATGATTGTGATGTAAATACAAAAAGACAGAAAACCTTTTCATCTTGTTATATTGAAGTGCCGAGTAATATTTCTGCAAAGTTAACAAACCATATTTAAAATACTGGGTTTGTATGTAGCTACATGTTTTCATTCCTTCAACAGGGCACATTGACCAGGTAAGTCCATAACAGATCACATTTCATGGCTAGGACTTCACAAACAGATAGTGATCAGCATCTCTTCTTCAAACTATACCCCTGAATCATATATTTCAAACGATTTTCAAATACTTTGCAATCAACAGTGTTTTGTTTGTTTGTTATTGTTTAACCCCGCACTCAGCAATATTCCAGCTATATAACGGTGGTCTGGATCAGTCAATCCAGTGACTGACATCCTGAGTATCAATCTACGCAACTGAGATACGATCTCATGCATGAACCAAGATCCTGTCAGTCGCCTCTATCGACAAACATCGTTTGCCGAAGACCAGTCCTAACCTGGAAATTCATGTGTCTGCAATCAATGTGAACATAATGACTGGGTATTGGGTGTCAAGACAGTGTGTCTTATTTAACAACATGTTGATGACATTGCAGTCATACTCCTGTGGATCAACCGAATGCTGGCGGAGATTCCCCATATAGCCCTGGTTTCTCCTCGTGGGGACACGACTCATATACTAACCTTATATGATGTGACAAACTTCCTCCAATGAATTTTGTAGGTTTCTCAAAAGGGTGAGAAAATTCTGGGAATTCCATGACATGGTGGTAATTGTCAATGACGGCGTCCAAGTTCAGTCTCCACTGCACCGTGCCATGTTTCTCCACCAGGTTAGTCAGCAGGAACTGCCGCACTAGCGAACTCTGCAACAATTACACATACACCTGGCACAACTTGGTCTTAAATCCTATTGTCTACTACAATATGGTTCATCTAGTTCCAAAAGACGTTAAAATATGGTACTTGTCGGTCCCTGCCTGGCGCTCGGCATTAATGGGTACAACAAGGACTGGTCGGCTCGGAGTCAGTATAATGTGTCTGAGTGGGGTATTCATGCTTAACTGCAGTGTGGTATCTCAGTGGGCTAGCACTATAAAACCAGCTTAAGTCTGGGCTAGTACAAGCAGCCGCATATACACATACACACGCATGCACGTCGTCATATGAGCGAAATATTCTCAAGTACGACGTTAAACCCAATTTCACCTCACCTTGTTCTAGTTCATATACACAGACTCCTCAGACTCACCATAACTGATGAAAAACTGCCAAACTCAAATACCATGGCACACTGTTGGTTTTAACCAAAACCAATTTGACTAAGAGTGACTTATCTACTACAACCAAAATTCTCATTAGACTTGCCAGCCATAACAATATTATCTTCCAAACAAAACAAAAATGGTGGCTTTCTGGTTTGCCACATGTATCTAGAGTAGAGCTTCGACGATTTATCGTAGTATCGATAATCATGATACTTTTTCTGACAATAAATATATCGATACTTTTTTTCGTATCGTGATATGTATCGTTGACCATAAAATTGTGAATTTTCACTAGAAATTGACGGTTATGTCAAAATTTACACTGTTACTTGTTATCAAAATACACTTTTTTAAAGATAATAACTAAACATAGCATATCGTGATATGCATCATATCGTATCGAATCGTTCCAAGATATTGCGATACGTATCGTATCTTGAAATTTCGGTATCGTCACACCTCTAACCTAGAGTTCCTGACAACACCTTTTGTTGCTCCACATTTTTTCTGTATATGAGATAACATCCGTTGTGCTGCACTACAGATACAGCTGTCCTCATCTTCATTACAGCCACTCTTACCAGCAGGCTCTAACTCATGTGCTGCTTATTTCCATTTTTCAAAGAAAAGAAAACACCTACCTACCCTACTAATGAGTGAGTGAAAGAATGAGTTTGGTTTAAAGCTGCTTCAAACAGCATTCCAGTTATGTCATTGTGTGTCACTTAATGTAGGGAGAAGGAGAAGTAATGTAGGTTCTTGATGCTTACCATATTCATAACACCAACAAGCTCAAATTAAGTCGCTAACAAACCGACATTCATAATCTGGACAAAGCGGGATTCGAACCCATAATCATAAGCTCCTGGCTACCCAAGGTACTTAATCTAAATAGCAAATAGTGGTGTCTAAGAAAAGTAGACTATACTTGAGGACGATTTGACAAATATGCACCATTTCAGTGACATTGAAATATGGTTTCTTCCTTAAATACAGTTATAATTCCAAAACTATTACAGTACCTCAACAATTGGTCTGAGTTGCACATCCGCCTCCTTCCTGGCAGTGGATACTTACGCATGGGCATCAGGAACGATCTGCCGCATCCTCTCCGCATACGACAGCAGCAACCTCCCACCAGGGCTGGTCACAGGTGCAACATCCACCACGACCAGGCCCTTCAGACGCTCAGGCTGCCAACAGCCATGTCACAATATACAATAACAAGATGTCATGGTGCCTTCAACTATTGACAAGTCGAACATACAATACATGATAAGCCTAACCTCGGAGAGATTCAGGTTTATGATATTTTGCTGGTTATTTTTGTTTGCACAAAAACATAAATTAAAAAACATATAGTTCTTTGGGTTGTTTTTTTTTCAAATTTCACATCTTTAAAGGATGACTAGTATGTTAGGAACATAAATTTCTTGGGGTCTTTAAAATAAATTCAGTCATGACTTGGAACAAGCTTGTAGTGCTCATGAAATGTAACACACAAAACCAACCTTGTGAAAAATATTGTTAATGCAAAAAGTGTTCCAGAATCGTTTGTGTTTGATTATGAGAAAACATGATCTATTGCTTGGTCGTTTAGTCACTGCAACCAATTTTCGATTATTTCAATTAATCGGACCACCACTAGTCCATTGCCTCAGCAAAAATGGGTTAAGTTTGAATGTGTGTTGGTTTGATTTTTTCATATTATTATTATATTATATTATTATATTATTTTTCGTTTTATAAATATGAACAATAAATTTGGTGTGGTCATATATTATTTATGAAAATAAGGGGAGGCGAAAAATATATGGGGGTGGAGAAGGGAAGCTGACAAAATATAATAATCCTAAAAACCCATCCCATCCCCTACACACCCCATCCTATCCTACCCCACCCTATAGCAAATGACTCCCACGCAGGAGACGATACCCATTCTCCATACCTGTGACAAAGCAAGAGTCATCGCGATCTTGCCTCCCATGCTGTGACCAACCAGAACCGTCTGCTCAAGGTGAAGGTCATCCATCAATCTCAGAACATCATCCCTCATGGCATAGTAGTCCATGTAAGGACTGTGTTCACTGTCTCCATGGTTACGACCATCAACAGTTATTACCTGTAAAGACAACAAGTTTTTCCAAAGAATTATACAAATTGAAATTTGACCACACATAGAAAAGACATCTTTCTGTTTCTTCTCATCTCCAGAGAAGACAAATCCAACCTGAGACAACTAAACTTATGCAGGATGTGTGAAAGTTAAAATTTAGTCATAGCAAAATGAAAATACTAATTACCATAAGCTTGGGGCACTGTGTACAGTTGGGTGCCACTTAGCTGTGCCCAAACACATACAATGAAAGTCAAGGGACCATGCTCTAGCCTTGTTAAGAAAGAAATGGGCTCTAAATTCAAATAATGTATCATGAAATCCTGAAGGGACGCCAAGATCCCATTAATGCTGAGTGCTGTCATATATATATACTGAACATCATTGAAAACGCACCACCTATAAATTTTGAAATATGGTAATAGGATTGTTTTGAGAGTGAAAATGAACGTTGGAAATGTTGTTAATAACACAAAAGACAATAAATAATGCTGTACAGTAAAGAACGGATTGCCCGAACACATCATGGAACACATCACATGACAACAACAAAATTCATGCACAACACACACGAAAAGCACAAATTGCATGCGTAAAACATGCTGATTAGGGGTATAAATGACCGTCAGCAAAATAACTTTCTCATCTTATCTGTACCTCCACAAGTAAAGTTTATTTTACAATGTCAAGATTGGCACCAGAGGAACGAGAACTGGCGTTGGGCATGTTGCAGGTTGGCACATCAAGCAGGATTATTGCCAGACAATTTGGTTGCCATCTCTCTATTTCTCAATTTGGTTGCCATTGCTCTAAATTATGTCTTGAACTCTGTCAGATCCGCAGTCGACCATGGTGAATCTGCTTTGCTTGTCCTCCTGGATTTATCTGCGGCTTTCGACACAATTAACCATGAAATTCTTCTTGAGCGTTTGGTGAAAGAATTTGGTTTGACTAATACAGTTCTTGACTGGCTAAGATCCTACCTTTCAGACAGAACCCAGTCCATTCACATCGGAACGTCTTCATCATCCAGTCACACCCTAACCTGTGGAGTTCCCCAGGGATCAGTTCTTGGACCAACTCTTTTCTCCCTGTATACTCAACCGCTCGGAAAACTGATGTCTGCTTATCATGTGCCTCATCATTTCTATGCGGACGACAGCCAATTGTTTGACAGTTTTAAGTCGTCAGAACAAAGTCAGTTAGAGTGCAAGTCCAACCTTGAAGCATGCCTCTCGAGCACAAGATCCTGGATGTCTGCTAACAAGCTGAAACTTAACGACTATAAAACAGAAACAATGGTCATCTCCACAATCTCAAGACAACTAAACCTTATCATCAAAGATATCTCCATTGGGCAATCTTCGATTCCTTTTTCTCCTCTTGTGAAAAACCTTGGCGCTCTTTTGGACTCAAACCTCAGCATGGACAAGCAAATAAATCATCTAGTAAAGACCTGCCACTACCATCTGAAGAACATCGGCAGCATCCGCAAAGTCCTAACAAAGAAGCCACTGCCACCCTTTGTGCGGACACTGATTTTATCCCGCCTGGATTACTGCAACAGTTTACTGTTTGGCATCTCTTCCTCTCAACTCCATCGCCTTCAGAAAATCCAGAACAAAGCTGCACGCATCATCACTCTCACCAGTCCTCGCTGTCACATCTCTCCCATCCTAAACTCTCTACACTGGCTCCGTGATTCGCGGAAAGGATTGATTTCAAGATTCTCTGCCTCACCTACCAGTCTTTCTACAACTCAGGACCTTCCTACCTTCAAGACCTTCTGACACATTACTCTCCAGAAAGAACCCTGCGCCATCACAACAACTGTTACTTGCTGTCCCGAGCTACAGTCTCAAATCATTTGGCTCAAGGACCTTTTCATATGCAGCAGCTTCTCTGTGGAACTCTCTCCCTATCGAGTTAAAATCATCTCCTTCCCTAAGTACACTCAAAACACGACTAAAGACTCATCTATTTCTTCGCTACAAGTGACTTCCAATCATCCGTACCTGCCAACTGTATATAGTTTTAACTTGAGCTCAGGAAGCGCTTTGAGCATATCCCTGTGACGTGGAAAGGCGCTATATAAATGGCCTATTATTATTTATATTATTATTCCACCATCATAAGACTTGCCAACAGGTACCAACAAACAGGAATCACCAGGGACCGCCAACGTCCTGGCCAGGCACATGTTACCACCCCTCGCCAAGATCCAGATATTGTTCGGCGCCATATTCGGGGTCGTACGTTGCCGGCTACCAGAACCGCCAACGCTGTCCAAGGCCGATGTGGTTTGATCAGTGCTTCCACCGTCCAACGCAGTCTCCGTGCAGCAGGATTACGGTGTCGTTGCCCTTATGTTGGACCCATCCTGACTGATAGACATCGCCATGAACGCCGATGATGGGCTGAACAGCATCGTTTGTGGTTGTTACGACGTTGGCATGGTGTTGTGTTCTTTGACGAGTCACGTGTTCACTTGCGAAATGCTGCTGGGCGTCCACGGGTATGGCGTTGACGGGGAGAACGTTACCATCAGGACTGTGTTGTACAAACAGATCGGTGGGGTGGAGGAAGCATTATGGTGTGGGGAGGGATCAGTTATCATCACAAAACCGCTCTGGTAGTTTGTCGTGGCAGAGTGAATGCCCTTTACTACCGTGACACCATTCTTCAGAACAACGTTGTTCCCTTCTTTAACCAACATCAAGATCTGCACACATTCCAGTAGGACAATGCTCGAGCGCACACTGCACGTGTTGCAACACAGTTTCTGGCAAACAACATTCCTCAACTTCCATGGCCTGCATTGTCACCAGATTTGTCTCCCATTGAACACTTGTGGGATTACATCGGCCAACGCTTCTCACATCACCCACAGATCAACAACCTTTGGGAACTTGAGAATGCCTTGCAACAAGAGTAGAATGCATGGCCTCAAAACATTATTCAGAGACTTATCAGTTCAATGAGGAGACGTTGCACAGCTTGTGCTGCTGCTAACGGTGGTCATACACGTTACTGACTTTCCAATTTGACTCCATCTTTCTTTCATGGCCAGCAGAATTAAAACTTCACTGTTTTGCTGGATTGGTTCTTGTTTCTTTTCTTTACCAATCATTGGACTACAAAAGTATGTAAAATTTACACCGATTGCTCATTTATGCTCTTGGAAATCCAAACTAATACAGGTGGTGCGTTTTCAATGATGTTCAGTATATTTCGTGTCCACCGTCCTATATAATATACTACCCATGATGTTTCTGCCACTTAGTAGGGCAGAGATGTAGTTCAGTCATGAAACTGTACACTTAGTACACTAAAACCCAAGTTCAAATGCAACATAGGTATAATCTGTCACGCCAATTCAAAGTATTCCATGCCATCATATTTTTTGGAAAGCCAAATATAACAACTCACCCTTTGCCCCTCTGCAGCCAGCTTCTTGGCAATACTGTGCCAGTTTGACTTGGAACCAAACAGACCATGTAGTACCAGAAGTGGGGCATAATCTTTGTTGCCTAGGCTACCCACCTCCCAGCTGCCAGTCTGCTCAAAGTCATGTTCAGTGTACGACAATTTCACAGCCTTTCTGTAAGCAAATCAACAATGCCATTAGGCATGGCATCTAATTAGTTCTCCAATCGGTCATCGTTTTTCTGTTCATGTTCCTTATGTGACTGGGTACTAATTTTAACTATGCCATCATTAAAAAAGAATATTCAATTATTATTCATGAAATTCAAAGTATCCAAGGTAGTCAAAGCAAAGCAAAGCATTAAGTCACCTATAGGGCTTCAACGAGTCCATTTTTTAGACTCGAGTACTCGAGGGGTGAGACTCGAAATTCATACCTTTCAAGCAAACGTTCAATTGTCAAGATAGTTACCTAATCATTTTCAGAAGTGAAATCTCAATCGATGTATAATATTTACTCTCATCTGCAGACTTGTAACAACTAATACCATACAGCCACACCGTGTGAGGAGTAAACTATTTAATCTGGGTGTTAATAAAAACATTATCAGATGGGTTAAAGAATTCAGGGTACATAGAACTCAGTATGTCAGTGTCAATGGCTATCAATCTTCTTTTCTCTCAACCTCTGCTGGAGATCCACATGGCTGTGTTCCTTCATCCGTACGCTTCGTTTTGTATACCAATGACTGTTACTTGTCAATATATGACTTGTTTACTGTGAAATTTGCAGATGATGCCACTGTTACTGGCCTAATTTCTGATTCTGAACATTATTATCATCAAGGCATTGACAAAACCGTAATGACAGTTTTTTATCAAACCTTTATTCAAAGTATGTTGACCTACAATTTTCTATGTTGGTATGGGGATCTGTCTCATCGCAACAAAAACAGACTTTTCAAAATTGTTAATACTGCTTGCAAAATTTCTGGAGTGTATTTCGAGTATAGTCAAAAAGGCAGCTAAAATTAGATTTGATAGTTGACATTTTTGATCTCACCATTTTGAACTACTTCCTTCTGGACGCTGCTGTCGATTCACAGTCTTTCATACCATCAAGTATTCGTGAATGCAACCAATATTTTGAATCATCATCATGTGATTAGAACTAGAATTATTCAGCCTCTTTACCTATGTGGTTAACTGAATTATATCATGTCAGTTTTATATGTAAATAGCATTCGTTTTGAGCATGTAATTATTGTGCATATTTTTGTGAACTGTGTATATATTCATTTTGTGACAGTTTGGATATATGAGAATTTCCTCGGGGATAATAAAGTTATATCTTTTTCTTAATATTAGACGTCAACGGACGGTCATGCTTAGCACATGGCAGACAGTCCGTCAATGTCAATAATTCGAGTTATCTCCCCTTTTCCAGTCCTCGAGTCCTTGAAAATGGACTCGAGTCCAGCTAAACCCGACTCGTCCTCGAGTACTCGAGTACCCGTGGAAGCCCTAGTCACCTATGGCTTTTGACACCCATGGTTATCATCAAAGTTACTACTTTGTCACCCATGGCTATCCTCAAAGTTACTACTTTGACACCCATGGCTATCATCAAAGTTACTACTTTGACACCCATGGCTATCATCAAAGTTACTTCTGTGACACCCATGGCTATCTTCAAAGTTACTACTATTGACACTGATGGCTCATCATCAAAGATACTTCTGTGTTGACACCCATGTCTATCTTCAAAGTTACTACTTTGACACCCATGGCTATCATCAAAGTTACTACTTTGACACCCATGGCTATCATCAAAGTTACTACTGTTGACACCCATGGCTATCATCAAAGTTACTACTTTGACACCCATGGCTATCATCAAAGTTACTACTTTGACACCCATGGCTATCATCAAAGTTATTACTTTGTCACCATTGGCTATTATCAAAGTAACTACCTTGACACCCATGGCTATCATCAAAGTTACTACTTTGACACCCATGGCTATCATAAAAGTTACTACTTTGACACCCATGGCTATCATCAAAGTTATTACTTTGTCACCATTGGCTATTATCAAAGTTACTACTTTGACACCCATGGCTATCATCAAAGTTACTTCTGTGACACCCATGGCTATCATCAAAGTTACTACTTTGACACCCATGGCTATCATCAAAGATACTACCTTGACACCCATGGGTATTATCAAAGTTACTACTTTGACACCCATGGCTATCATCAAAGTTACTTCTGTGATGCTCCTGGCTATCCTCAAAGCTACTATTTTGTCACCCATGGCTATCATCAAAGTTATTACTTTGACACCCATGGCTATCATCAAAGATACTTCTGTGACACCCATGGCTATCCTCAAAGTTACTACTTTGACACCCATGGCTATCATCAAAGTTACTTCTGTGACGCCCATGGCTATATCAAAGTTACTACCTTGACACTCATGGTTATCATCAAAGTTAGTACTTTGACACCACGGGCTATTATCAAAGTTACTACTTTGACACCCATGGCTATCATCAAAGTGACTTCTGTGACACCCATGGATATCCTCAAAGTTACTACTTTGACACCCATGGCTATCATCAAAGTTACTTCTGTGACAACCATGGATATCCTCAAAGCTACTACTTTGACACCCATGGCTATCATCAAAGTAAGTTCTGTGACACCCATGGCTATCTTAAAAGCTACTACTTTGACACCCATGGCTGTCATCAAAGTTAGTTCTGTGACACCCATGGCTCTATCAAAGTTACTACTTTTGACACCCATGGCTGTCATCAAAGTTACTACTTTGACACCCATGGCTATCATCAAAGTTAGTACTTTGACACCCATGGCTATCATCAAAATTACTGCTTTGACACCCATGACTATCTTCAAAGTTACTACTTTGACACTGATGGCTATCATCAAAGATACTTCTGTGACACCCACGGCTATCTTCAAAGTTACTACTTTGACACCCATGGCTATCATCAAAGTTACTTCTGTGACACCCATGGCTATCCTCAAAGTTACTACTTTGACACCCATGGCTATCATCAAAGATACTACCTTGACACCCATGGGTATTATCAAAGTTACTACTTTGACACCCATGGCTATCATCAAAGTTACTACTTTGACACCCATGGCTATCATCAAAGATACTTCTGTGACACCCATGGCTATCTTCAAAGTTACTACTTTGACACCCATGGCTATCATCAAAGTTACTTCTGTGACACCCATGGCTATCATCAAAATTACTGCTTTGACACCCATGACTATCTTCAAAGTTACTACTTTGACACTGATGGCTATCATCAAAGATACTTCTGTGACACCCACGGCTATCTTCAAAGTTACTACTTTGACACCCATGGCTATCATCAAAGTTACTTCTGTGACACCCATGGCTATCATCAAAGTTACTACTTTGACACCCATGGCTATCATCAAAGATACTACCTTGACACCCATGGATATTATCAAAGTTACTACTTTGACACCCATGGCTATCATCAAAGTTACTTCTGTGATGCTCCTGGCTATCCTCAAAGCTACTTCTTTGTCACCCATGGCTATCATCAAAGTTACTACTTTGACACCGATGGCTATCATCAAAGATACTTCTGTGACACCCATGGCTATCCTCAAAGTTACTACCTTGAAACCCATGGCTCAACTTCTTATCATTGCAACTTTGTCAACCAGGGCTTAACTTCTTACTGCTACTACTCTAGAATTGAATGATTGGTACGTAAGGTTATCAAATAACATAAAGCTCCTCTTTGCATGATAATTTCGTTGCTAGTCTCATTTATATATTACAAAAATATTATACAAAACATCCAATAAATTCTAATCTGAATTTCATTTGAGTATTTTTGACAAATATATTACGAAACTTACTTTGCCCAAGTTATGAAAGCAGGTACAATTAACATTCTTTTAAGTGAGGAATTTCATAGGTAATTTGAGTAAGTTTCAGTAAAGTTTCACAGGATAGATTGTACATGATACTTTATGCAGAGATTACACTAAGCACAAAAATGTAATTGAGGCTTGGAGGTTTTTTCTAGGTCTGCCTTGATAGAGTCTAACTCTCTCTTGAACTTCTGTATCAGTGAATTGTCGGTGAGTTGAAAATCTCAGGTGTACAGAAGCCTTTACTGGTGACTACCAATGACATCACAAATCCTGCGGTGAAGCATGACCCCAGTGACCTCTCGGTCAAAGGCCGGTCCGAAAACATGGACAGACACGAATCGTCTTTCACCACAGAACTGTCAATGTTCGATTGCTGGCGATCAACTTACGGATAAGATTGCTTTGTCTTTGTGCTCATGTTACGTAGGCATTTGTGTACAGAAGAGTTGCACAAAGCCCGCAGAAGAGTAGTGTTCATTTCTTTACGGCGGTGATGAACACTACATGTCTTTCTGACCGAAACACTCAATGATCGCCTTTCGTACTAGCAGACGAATTGTCACGGCACGCACATGCCGGAAGTGTAAAACGACACCGGTATATTTGCCATACAACTATTTATCTATCTAGTTCCTGTCAAAGCACTCACGTAGATTACATTTTCTGCGTACGCTAAGCATTTTACATCAGAAGTTACAACCTACTGAATGGTATGTTTACGAACAAGTGACGACTGCCGTGACGTCGAATACTCCCCTCCCGGCAATGTCTTTCTTGGATTTTCAATTTCTATTTCAGCTGCAGATCATGTAATTGTTATGTACAGCAGGGACAATCTACAATATAGTCTCCCTGGTTCCAGTAAGAATACACAGGGAACTTGTTTGTTTTGTCGTTTGCCTGCAATATGAAACGGTCTTTACTAAACAAGTAACACGGAAATTCATCAGAAAAATATCTTAAACCTATTCCAAACTATTTTGATAAAATTATTACCACGTGTACACTGGCCAATGTAAGTGGTGTTTGATCTACGAAAGCGTCACCCGCTGTGCATGGTACGGACTTCGTCACTCCTTCAGTATTTTACCAACTCTTCAGTCTTCTACTGCCATTGACAAACGCTGTGGATACACTCTGATATTCTCATTTGCAATAGCTCCTATGGCTTATTGACATCACATATAATCTTATTAGCCAAAAAATACATCCATATCACAAGCATAAAAACAAATATGTTAACAATAGAAGGTTTTAGGAAAACTGTCAAAGATGTTTTTAATGTTGAAGAAATTATTGCGAAGAAGAATAACGCTCTGCCTTCATTCCATACAAAGTGGAAACATTTGATCACTGTATTGCAGTCTTAATGTAGTTGTCTCATGTCTTAAAGGACACAGCTTATATCAGTTTTGATGTCCATACATACTTATTTCACGCACACTCCAGTACAGTATCCAACCAACAATGTAGTGCTGCTATATATAAATTACATAAAGCTGTTATTCATACATAATATAGGTATATCTTTGTACACACCCAACCTGAATGTATACCTACTGAATTGAAATGAATAAAAAGATTTAAAAAGGAAAAAACCCGTTTGGATACACTTACAACAATCTCTGTTGACATATAAGGACATGTACGGTTGGTTTGTTGTTTAACGACGCACTCAGCAAATTCCGGCTAATATGGCGGCGGTATGTAAATAATCGAACCTGGACCAGACAGATCAACAGCATGAGCATCGATCTACACAATATTGGGATACGATGACATGTGTCAACCAAGTCAGCTAGCCTATTACGGCAAGCAAGGGTTGGTGAAGATCAATTGTAACTCAGGTTTTCACGGGTCACGACATGTACGTAAGTGTGCAGTCTGGTGTGATTGGCTGCCTTATAAAACGGTGTGAGACAGTTTTTTGTTACAATGATTACTTATAAATGTCAGAAATACAAGGCGTGGTTCAACAGCCCTGAGCAAAGTTTACTCTCGGCAAGACGACGGTTTGACATAAAATCTGGACCTAAACAGAATTATCTTCCCGTAGGAGTCATCATCCACTATATATGTTCATGAACACAAACTTTATGAGTTAGCTGAATGCCAAAATGGGGTTTATATACTTTAAATCAAAATTTGTAATAAAATTTATTGTAGGAGGCGACTAACTGGATCTGGTGGTTAAGCCACGTACTCTTATTTGGTTGATACGCGGTTATCGTATTCCGATCGCGAGGATCCATGATTACTAGTTTGCCTGGTCTGATCATGTACACACGAGCGGAGCAAAAAGGAAGACCTTTTATGATAGACAACTTTTTTATTGCAATAGAGTCGACGTTTCGGTGTTAACACCGTTATCAAGCAAATGATACACAAAATTACGCACAAGGAGAAATATGTACATGAAGGATATTTAAGTTTATGTACAGGACGTGTATGTGTGAGGACATAATGAGACTTTTTGTTATACAGAGATGATTGAAGCCAGATGGACAAAGGATGGGGAAGGGTTGTTCTTGGTTAGCCTTGATTAGGTGATCGTATCTTGATCTCTGTTGATCGTCGGGTTGAGGCGTTTGATGTTGATGTCTAACCATAAAAAGTGTTCCTCTTAATCACACAGCATCTAAATGCCTCTTAAAGAAGAGGCTGGAGTATGGCAAATGGTCGAGTTAAACTAAACGCAAATTTTAATAAACAACCAAACAACCAAATAATGTGTATTAGATTCGCGTAATTAGGTATGAGTTGGGGTGGTGGTGGTGTGTGTTGGGGGCGGCGGTGTTGTTGTTCCATGAGTATATAAAATATTTTGGACTTCGTACCTATTAATGAACTAAGGGTGTAACCAAGTCTGGGATCTCGGTGTGTGTGATCTATCTCTATGACTAATAAGCTACCTATCTAGCTTATCCTCAATTTTGTCTTTTGGGATTTGCAGTTCGTCTGTTTACTTTCAAAAACACAAACTTACAAACCCGTGATCTATTTTAAATTACACTGATTGATTTTTTAACACAACGGTCGGCAGATGTCGCTAAAACTATCCAAGAGCTATTGATAACTTGTTGAAAGCAAATAGTATTTAATTTATGAGTCATGCGCATACATACTATGAAACAACTTCCGTTTACCACCCCTGTAGATAACTTCCTGGAGAAATTTGTCGATAATAATTTCACAAAATGGCCAGGGAATACGATCACCTATTCAAACTACTAATTATTGGTGACAGTGGTACGTCGATTTTCTTCTTTTCAAAGTTAAAGATCATTAAATGAAGCGTCTTTATTGATATAATTGAAGTTGTGGGTTTCGTGATTTTCACTCGAGACAGCTCTTGGCTCCACCGTGTTGTCGAATGCCGGGAGTACTGGAGTTTCTATCAAATAACACTGAGCATATCTTTTTTCGCAAGGCACTGTTTTATTTGATAGATCCTACGAGGCGTAATGTATTCTGTTGAAAAGAAGTGTGTGTTCTCGCAAACTCATGCCAAAATCGATTGTTACACAAAATGTGACAGCTCATATCACAGGAAATAGCGGAAGTTTATGGAGTATATACATGCTAATTTCTTTAGTTATGCAGTTATGACTCAGAAGTCATAATAACCGAATATTCTATTATTTAAAATGATTCACACATAGATAAACTTAATACCAGTTCTGAATATAAATACAGCTGCTGTCACTTATTAAAGAAATGGCTTTTTGTAGTATGGTATACAGTTTGTAAATTTGTAATGAATATGTAATTGAATACAGCTTTCGTTTTCTCTGGGAGTTGTCAAACTTTGTTGGAAATGTACCACTGTATTCATATATTCATGGTGTTAAGAATGTGGATTTCCATATCATCTCTGTTTGGAACTATAGTCAATCACGATTTAGTCTTTCACTGTCAACTATGATCTTATAACCTTGAGTATTTAATTTCGGTGTTATGTTGTGAACATGTTAGGACCTTATTGTTATGGTGCATGTCATGTGAGTTAAATATTTATACAGTTGACATGCACCTGGTTTCATGAAGGTCACCATTGCTCCTCTGAGCACTATCAAGCTGAATGGACTGGATGAAATGTGTCTCATATGACAGTGTGTTTATATGAAAATAAAACCAAATGCAGCAGGTCAACACAAGATGGGTTCACTTCTAAGTTGTCTTTTATTCTAATGTCATATCCATCATCATGAACATGATCTATAAGTGTAAGGATGTAACTTTTTCTGTTTATCCTTTGTCATTTTCCGACATGTTTTTGTTCATAAAAATCATAATGCTTGTAACAGAAAGAAGTAGAAGTGCCTTGATGTGACCGAAGTGATTGTTTTTCTTTACATATCATATCTCAATACTCCACTTCCTTACTATGTTCAATACAATACATTTTCTGTGCAAAGATGGAAACTCAAAAATGGTTTTCAGATGTCCACTTTATGTATTATATACACATCAACAGATCATGATAAGTTGTTCAAAGTTGGTACATGTCATTGTCATCATGGCACACGTGTGCAGGTAATCTGTTGTCATTATCTTGTGTGACCTCTAGGAGAGTCCAGAACTGCCTGGCTTCATCGCCCCATGGAGCCACTCAGATTACAAACTGTTTGCCCACTGTTCCTGCATTGCTTAATCCAACTGCAGGAGGTTCCGTTGCTGTTGCTGACGTGATTGCAGACATTGATTAAAAGCATCGAGTTGAAAAATAACATGATTTGCTTGTTGCATTATGGGAAGGACGTGTGGTCGAAGAATTTCTTCTGTGTAACATTGTAACGTTGTGTCTTTAAATTGCCAGGGACATGGACCAAGACCGTTCTGTCGGTATGGGAAATGGCGCCCCACATCATTTCACTCCCACTTCCAAACCTGTCCACTTCTTGCATGCAGTTTCAAGCGTAACATTTTCTGTCTGTACTGGGAAGGAAAAAAGGCAACTAAACCAAACACATCTCCCTTGCTGCTGTAACTATAATCTGTGTCCTTGACACCATTGACGTAGCAGTCAATGATGCTGATCAATCAGAATTACGTCTGGGCTGAAATCCTTTGGCTTAATGTATGTCTCAGTGGTCAAGTTTGCTGACTTGGTTGATCATGTAGATTTGCCTGTCATTGTATCCCAATATTCTTTAAACAGGAACCTGTTGCCTGATATTTGATTCATAACATAGCAGTAGTTGTAGATAATGAACAGATCTTGGGGTACTTGTGTTCTCTGCAACTGTCAAGATACAACCTTGTAAGTCCAGTGGAGATTCCTGTAAGAATATAATCCCCAGCAATCTGTGTTTGTTATAGAAAGTGACAAGAATGAATCGGTGACTTGGTTGCATGTCAGTACATCACAACTTATTTAATTGATGCTCACGTTGTCTATCACTGGATTGTCTGGTTCTGATTTAGAGATGTGGCCAGACCGGTGAAGTGTCGATGTCATGAAGCTGAAATCTCACCTTGCTGTTGTCAGCGTGGATGTAGTCTAAGTTCAATAAGTTCCCTCTCAATAATTGGCAGGGGTTCAGATTGGTCGTATTCTAGGACACTGATGATTGTTACCCGCTACCATGGCTACCTGTGAAGATACGGGTTAGAATTGGTCTTCAGTAACCCATGCTTGTCGTAAGAGGCGTCTAACAGTTGACACATGTCATGGTATCTCAATTGCATAGAGAGACGATCATGATGTTGATCACTGGATTGTCTGGTCCAGACTTGATTATTTACAGACCGCTGCCATATAGCTGGAATATTGCGGAATGCGACGTTAAACAACAAACCAACCAACCATGGTCATCTAGAATGCCCTAAACATTTATTTCAATTTTGTTCTGGAAGAATATCCCTTCAAAATTTTCAACAACAAAAACTGGGTGAGGAGTTTTATTCATCATGCTTATCAATCTGAATGATAGAATCTAATATTCACATGGTTTCTTCAGAACATACTGCAAGCGTTATTATAATTAACCATGTTTATTTGCGACACGCTGCTGATACTGTATCATGGTGTGTTTGTTTGTCATGTTTATCCACAATTAGCAATATTTCATTTTGAACTTGCTGAACATTTTGTAAAGGACTGAGCACAAGTGTTTTTAGTGAAGTAATTTGCAGTTTCAAATACCGGCTTAAGAAACTTACTTCATCGAAAAATATGTATCTTGAGCACCGTATTGACCCAATTTTATCTCACCAATAAACATGGTAAAACAACTGAGGCAAGTTATGGTTATGCAGACACAAAAGAATAGAGCTACGCTAATCTGTAAAATTTACTTTTGAATGTTTACAATGCAGGAAAGATGCATGTATTACAATGGCTATATTATTATCAAGGCGAATGAAAAGGCTCATCATGGTTGTATGCGTGGGTTAAACAGTTATGTTAAATGAAATGCAAGCTTGTTGTCTGGGATTGCTGTCAAAGCGGTGAAAACCATCTGGTTGTATGACATGTAGAGATGATTTACATACATACATGGCCACAGATGGAGCCACTGGGCATTAAGTGACATGTTAATAATACATACTAGGTATTGATCAGTATTTTTGTTTGTATAGTCTCTCTCCATAGTTTCCAGTCAGGTGGACTTTTAAGTGGATTTTTTACAAATATTTCTGCTGCTCCATTTTTCTTCTGAATTAGACTAGTGTATACTTTAATGAAAGAAATAATGTTATTTGATCACAAAAATATCTATCTAAAATATGAAAAATCCAAATGAAGCTGACAATGATTGATCATAATTTAAGTTCTGTCCCAAATGGTAATCCAAACAAAAATAAATTTATAAATTATTTTATACTAAAATCTGTCCATACTTTAATGATAAATTCACATAGGTTTGATAAATGATTAATGATGTTCAATACGCAGGTTGCTTGCTTTCCTATCGGTTCATTGCTGGGAAGGCTAAAATCGTGACGATTCTCAGTTCAATGAGCGTAGCGTTTGCGGTACTTGCAATGCCATGTTATGGCTGAACGCACACGGCACGCCTTACTCAGAGGCTCTGACAAATTACAAAGAAAACAGGATTAACGTGGACGCTCTTTGATTTTGGCACATATAAAAGTATAAAGAAAGTTATTTACACAAGGTGAAAGATTTATTTCTGTATTATTATACTCATTTATCAGAGCTCCAGATAAGATTTACCTCATGTGGGTACTGTACCCACTGTATTTTTTTGGAGTGGGTGTTATGAATGTTGAGTGGGTATTTCATTTTCCGTTATCCACTGCTTTCAGGTATGTGCGTATTTCAGTCATTTTACTCACCTAAGTATTATGTCATTGAGTAAGTTTACTAAGCAGGTATGTCCTGCCTTATGTCATACTTAATCAAAACCAACATAAATATAATGGAAATGATTTCATAAAAAAATCACTCATCCTACACTGATAGTACAACACTTGTCCAATACTAACAGTACAACTGGATAGCAATCGATGTCTTTTTCATTACGCAAGCGATTTTTATAAATATATTCCGTATGCATTTGTTTTAAACTTTTTTGCATATCTAACATTTTAAATGCGTAATTGGTACACAACAATTATTTTTCAATGCGTAATTGGAAATTTTCTATGCGTATTTTACCCGGATATGCAGCTTATCTTGGCCTTTGTTTATTACTCACCCGTCGAAGATATCACTTTTAATAATAACATATGACGCCAAAGTGGTTTACAGTTATGACATCTTCAGCACTTTCCGACAACAAAACAGTGTCATCTGCATACAATAGTGCTAATAATTTTATATACATGCCCAGCTGTTCCTCAATAAAACAATTTACAGTACCAAGTACGAGCTATTTCGCTTTCTGTAATTGGATTATCTAATGTCACATTCACTCAATTCACACATGTCGATGTTTACATCATCGCTTTCATCAGTCTCATTCATACTTTTAAAATGGTTAAAAAGCTTCACCAACTCAACATTGACATTATAACTATGCTTTTCTTAGAAAGATTTTAAAATATTCCAAAATGTTTTGGGATGAGATTTTTGTGCCAAGCGTACTTATTCTGCACATTGCCTTTTGTAGACACCGTCTCCGTGGTGTAGTGGTTAGAACGTCCGCCCAGAGAGCGGAAGGTCGCGGGTTCAATCTCCGACCGCGTCATACCAAAAGACGTTAAAATATGGTACTTGTTGGTCCCTGCCTGGTGCTAGACATTAATGGGTACAACAAGGACCTGTCAGCTCGGAGTCAGTGTAATGTGTCTGAGTGGGGTATTCATGCTTCACTCGGCATGGTATCTCAGTGGGCTAGCACTATAAAACCTGCTTCAGTCTGGGCTAGTACAAGCAGCTGCACATACACATACACACGCATGCACGTCGTCATATGAGCGAAATATTCTCAAGCACGACGTTAAACCCAATTTCACCTCACCTCACCTCACCCTTTGTAGGCTCTATTTGACTGTTCTAGAGTTCTGTTATAGTTTTTACAGGCCGTAATAAACATTTTGTGGTTTGCATTGGATTTGTTTTTGCCAAAGATAAGCTTATATTTATGATACTGCCACTGTATGATACAATAGAAAACGCCACTTAATAATGTTCTAAACAAGCGACGAAGATAAATACTCTATTATAACAATGTTCTGAAAAGAATTCTAACTACTCATGGATTATGCCTTGTGACTATTATTCTAATGTTTTTATAATTAAATAATTCCCCACATGGGTACAATGTGTGAAGCCCATTCTTGTGTCCCCCTCCGTGATATTGCTGGAATATTGCTAAAAGCGGCATAAAACTAAACTCACTCACTCAATCACTCACTATAATTAAATACATCTGAAATACAAATGCCACTGTTAAATAAAGTTCTAAACAAGCGAAGAAGATAATCTATCTACTCCCGACATGGATTATGCTTCCCGGCACCGTATCTTTAGCTTTGGCGGTACTTCACTACTCCCTTGGAAATTAGCTCTCCCAGGAAATCCGAAATATAAATTTTATACTTCTCGGGACACCTGAAAAATAAATTTTAGCCTTCCCGGCACGACACCTTCCTATCATGCTGCATATCATTTAATATTTATTTTATTCATGTATCAATGAAATGGAGAGGTATTCAAATAAGCCATTACGGCTTGTTTACCGATCCTAGTTCAGTTTATTTTGAATAAAATATGTTTACACTAAGCCCATAATGAAGCTGGTTCAGCAGAGGCAATCTAGACTTGCCCTATCTATCTAGATTTGACTTACAATATATTTGTACTTATTCCCTAGTGTCTGGGAGACATTTTAACCTTAACGAGTTACTTGTCACATAAGTTCACGAAAAATATACATGTCCCTTTGAAAATAAAAAAGACATACAGCTTTCACTGTAGTGGAGTCTGTGTATAGATGGTGCCTGTTTTCAGCCGTGGTGGTGATTTGTTTTGAATACTTTATGGAAATGGAAGTGAGAGTATTTCAGCAACTCTGTTTATCATGTCAGCTTCTCATCATGTCTCTTCTCTGTTAAGGTGTTGGCAAGAGCAGTTTGCTGCTGAGATTTGCTGATAATACTTTCTCGGGTAAGTACTGGAATTGTTTCTTTTCACAAATACAAACTAAACATTTGAATCATCAACCTACCCGTCAGACTCTCATGGTAACAATAGTTATTATATGACTGGTAGATGTCCACTCTTCCGATTGGCCCACTTGCTCACATGACAGCTCTGACGCTAAGCGATGTCAACCTCGCGACGTTGCAATATGTTGATATACAACCTCGGCACATCGCGGGAGGTTGATGTAACAATCCAAGCACCTCCCGTGGCTGAAATTAGATTTGGGATCTTCCAGCTGTGAACTCCGCACTGCGTGCATCGCTTTGTCCCTGTGACTGTGTTGGTTTAGAGTTACGTCCCGTCTGTATCAAAATGGCAGACGATAAGCCTATTCCAGCTTATGTGAGTCTCTCTTATGTCACAGAAGACCAGGTATTCAGTACTTTTGTTATATATTAATAAAACAATGATTGACGTCTAGTGAGGTTGATCCAATGAATTATCGACCTTGGGCATGTCTAATCATCGGATCAACCTCACTAGAAGTCAGTAATTGTATATTATTAGTCGCCCGTGGAAATGCTGCAGTGTAATATTTTATGGCAATATTACACTAGTGTAATACAGCTAGATGTATGACGTCATAATGGTTTACAATTAATATGTCACAATGCTAATACCTCTGTCACAATGAGAGTCATCACACTGTAGGCAGTTGGAGAGTAATAAACAAAATACTAAGTTCGCTTCCGTGACATACCATTTTTATGAAAGTTGTGAGAGATGGTAACAGTAGGTATAGAACAGATCTCTAGACAAGAGGAATTGTAATTAGGGCCATATGATGTAGTTGGTTCTCAGTGTCTGTTGGTCTTCATGCTGCATTAGGGCAGTAATATCTCAATCTAGACCACAAGAGATGGCTCCACAAGTTGTACCCATGAGCAGTCAGTGCCAAAAATCTTTTGACTCTTCAAGCCTAACAAGCTCTTACTTGCATTGTCGCTGTTTTTCATGGGTTTGTATCAACTATGTTTCTTCTTCACCTTGTGTTTATTTATGTCGATTCGTTGCTGCTCTGTGAAGATCCAGATCATAATTGGTCTCCAGCAACCCTTGCTTCTCTCGAGGCGACTAGCAGAAAAGGACGACCAGACTTGCTGCCTTGTTTGATGTCATCCTATCAGAGAGTGATGTACACCAATGTGATGGTGGAATGTAGTGGATAAAGTCAGTGAATATTCCACTTGTGAAACTGAAGCTACATGGAGGTATGCTATTGTGACTGCTTCAGGAACGTACATCACAACCATCGGGGTGGACTTCAAGATACGAACCGTGGATGTCAACGGGGAGAAGGTCAAACTTCAGATCTGGGATACCGCAGGACAGGAGAGGTTCCGGACCATTACATCCACGTAAGGAATCTTGCTGTCTTAGTTCTTTGACTCAAGTATGTTTGGTATGACTTGGTTGTAAGGAATTATTTTGGTCAATGTGATGTGATTGAAACTGAGGACAGAAATGAGGAGATTGTTGTGGTAACTCTCTGTAAATAGCTGACAGGCTGCTGAGCATGGTTTATCCCTGACATTATAAGGTCAATTTTGTAGAATCCCTCTATTTCAATATTGCAGCAGATATTATCTTACCTGATAAAATATCGTTTTCTGATTGACTGAGCGCTCTTCTATTTTTTTCAATCTATCCTGGGAACTGTGGGAATTCATTTGGTCCTCAGTAATGATGTATATAATCGTATTTGTGTTAGTAACCCTTTGTCTTGAATAATTGAGTCATGTATGTTGTACGGAACTTACTGAAGTGTTGCAAATGCAAATCAATGGAAGGGAGATAACTCTAAAAAAAATATTTGTTGTCTGTCGTTGTTGGTATTGGCTAATTTGCCTAACTCTGGTACTCCTTATTATGACCTGATACTCGTGCTTCAAACAGTTCAAAAGTATCATTGAGGTGTATGTTATTCATTTGTCCCTCGGGATCCATGGGTTGATGTACCCTCTATCATGTCTATGGCTATGTTGAACGTATACAAACATAGAGGTTATATCAACCCATGTCCCCCTCATGACCAGTGAACAACTTATTATGTCCACTCCACTCCTCGGTTTATTTCCAGCATTGAACAGCTGTTGCAGTTATGTACTTGATTTAAATTGCCTCAACTAAAAGTTTCTCTATTTTCATGTTGTTTATTTTTCCAAATAATTCTCATGCCAACATTTGATGTCAGAATACTATTGCTTCAGTGATATAGCAAACTGATGTCATTATATTGTGATTGTCATGGTAACTGATGATGTCAGAATACTATTGCTTCAGTGATATAGCAAACTGATGTCATTATATTATGATTGTCATGGTAACTGATGATGTCAGAATACTATTGCTTCAGTGATATAGCAAACTGATGTCATTATATTATGATTGTCATGGTAACTGATGATGTCAGATTACTATTGCTTCAGTGATATAGCAAACTGATGTCATGATATTGTGATTGTCATGGTAACTGATGATGTCAGAATACTATTGCTTCAGTGATATAGCAAACTGATGTCATTATATTGTGATTGTCATGGTAACATATGATGTCAGAATACTATTGCTTCAGTGATATAGCAAACTGATGTCATTATATTATGATTGTCATGGTAACTGATGATGTCAGAATACTATTGCTTCAGTGATATAGCAAACTGATGTCATGATATTGTGATTGTCAACTGATGATGTCAGAATACTATTGCTTCATGATATAGCAAACTGATGTCATGATATTGTGATTGTCATGGTAACTGATGATGTCAGAATACTATTGCTTCAGTGATATAGTGATGTCATTATATTGTGATTGTCATGGTAACTGATGATGTCAGAATACTATTGCTTCAGTGATATAGCAAACTGATGTCATTATATTATGATTGTCATGGTAACTGATGATGTCAGAATACTATTGCTTCAGTGATATAGCAAACTGATGTCATTATATTATGATTGTCATGGTAACTGATGATGTCAGAATACTATTGCTTCAGTGATATAGCAAACTGATGTCATGATATTATGATTGTCATGGTAACTGATGATGTCAGAATACTATTGCTTCAGTGATATAGCAAACTGATGTCACTGATGTCATTATATTAGTGATTGTCATGGTAACTGATGATGTCAGAATACTATTGCTTCAGTGATATAGCAAACTGATGTCATTATATTGTGATTGTCATGGTAACTGATGATGTCAGAATACTATTGCTTCAGTGATATAGCAAACTGATGTCATGATGTCATGGTAACTATTGTCAGAATACTATTGCTTCAGTGATATAGCAAACTGATGTCATTATATTATGATTGTCATGGTAACTGATGATGTCAGAATACTATTGCTTCAGTGATATAGCAAACTGATGTCATTATATTGTGATTGTCATGGTAACTGATGATGTCAGAATACTATTGCTTCAGTGATATAGCAAACTGATGTCATTATATTGTGATTGTCATGGTAACTGATGATGTCACAATGGCCTCGATGGTGTTGCTGTAATAACTTCAAGGTGATATCCAACCAGAGAGAGATCTTGTCATGGTAACTGATGATGTCCAGTTTGGGTTGCTGATAAATTGATATCCAACCAGTGAATAAATTTATGTAAAATTGACAGTGAAACCTGCCAAAAATTTGTCCAATGTCACATGCTGTGTTTCAGATACTACCGAGGCACACATGGAGTGATTGTTGTCTACGACGTATCAAGCGGAGAATCTTTTGCAAATGTCAAGAGATGGCTACATGAGATTGACCAGAACTGTGATGTTGTTAATAGGATTCTAGGTGAGCTTTGAAGTGAAGTATAAAGGGAGCTATGACATAAGACTTGTCTGTGTCATCAGGGGTTGTGTCCCGTCTTTTTCCACCGTTATGTTTTTTGTTTGATTACACAATGCCATTTAGGAAGTGGTCAAATGTCACATATGTTATATTTGGGATTACACTTTCTTAGTAAAGTACAAATTCTAGTACTTTTTGAGTTGAGCCCCATCTGGGATTCGAACTCACACCCTCAGAGTCAGGTACCTAATCGCCAGCACACAAAGTCAGTCGCCTAGCCGTGCCTATTAACACTTATCAGAGGGGTACACAAAGTCTGCAGTCTAGACTACCAGTTGTCCGACTTCCATTTTGTGGAAGTCGCGGTAGCTGAGCGGGTTAGGCGACTGACTTTGTGTGCTGGCGATTAGGTACCTGACTCTGAGGGTGTGAGTTCGAATCCCGGATGGGGCTCAACTAAAAAAGTACTAGAATTTGTACTTTACTAAGAAAGTGTAATCCCAAATATAACATATGTGACATGTTTATTGTTTGTTGTAAACATCTCCATACAAACCACATGCAGAATGGTGTTGAACTATCAGATGCAGCATCTCACCAATCAGGAGACCTGACTTTGTTCTATCTGGTTTTCCAATATGATTAGTGTGACAGCCATATCTGAAATGCTTTTTATGGCTATTATTCAGCCAATCTTATTAAAAACGTAATGAGTTTTTGTGTATATTTGAAATATGATATAAGTAGATGGTAGAGGCACTCAAACGCCAGGTAAACTTCTGCTTCTGTACTGTGTTTATTTGACTGTGATACATTTCCTTGCTTTGTAAATATCTTGAAGGATTTTTGCTGAATCTGCCAGCAGACACTGAATTTACGTTTCTTCTCTTGATGACAAGTCGCTAGAATTTAGTGTTAGTTTGGCCCTTTGTATCTGTAGTAGTTAGTGTCTCTCTTCATTGGCAGGGGAGCTACAGAGCCTTCAGACTTTAGCCTGTGATTGATTCTCTGGCGTTGGCCTCTGAAGCTGTCCATCTTCGGGATAATCTCTTTAACCACATGATGGATATGCTTCGTGCCAAGAAAATATCATGTAACCATGGTAACCTTGTTTTCAGTTGGTAACAAGGACGATGACCCTGACAGAAAGGTCGTGTTAACCCAAGATGCTCAGCGCTTCGCAGACCAGATGGGTATTCAGCTGTACGAGACGAGTGCCAAGGAAAACATAAATGTTGAAGAGGTGGGTGTCCAGTCTGGTGTTAAAAATCAAACATATTCACAACTTGTTAGTCCTCTATATTTTGCGTGTAATGTGATGGGTAGTCTAGTGGTTAATGTATAGGTTCATCACATCAAGGGCCTGTGTTTGATCCTGCGTGTGGATTCACAGACTACAGTATATGAAGCCCATTCCTGGTATCACTCGTCATATTGCTGGGATATCGCCATTATGATTCATGTAAAAGGTTGAAGGCACATCCATCATAGTTGTGTTGAGCACCTTAGTGAACATTCAACCGAGTCTACTGATAGATGAGTGAGTTCATAAACCAGTTAGGTGCCAGCTTTCTAAGAGGATACGGTTACAGTTATTGTGACCTCAGCTCCACAGTTTTAACCTTAACTGAATAACACAGACATACCTTCAATCAGTCAATAGTAGACATGTTTAGATGGAGACAGTAATTGGCTAAAAGATCCCTGGAATGATATGACATAGGTACATTTGTTTACATTCGGAACTCCATGAAGGTATTCATTGTCGCGATACAGACATTAGGTAATTTGTCTAAAAGGTGAAAGTCTTGTTGCTGATTGGTTGATAAATAAGTTCACCTCGATGCGACTTCATATGCAGACATTGAAACAAAGAGGAAGCACATGGCTGTACAGGATCTGATTTTAACAAACTTGACTGACTGACTTTGGTTTTACGCCGCTTTTAGCAATATTCTAGCTACATCGCGGTGGGGGGACACCAGAAATGGGCTTCACACATTGTGCCCATGTGGGGATTCGAACCCGGGTCTTCGGCGTGACGAGCCAACGCTTTAACTACTAGGCTACCCCAACGCCCCCTTTTACAAAATTGAACCCACCCATGAAGATCCAGTTAGAATTGATCTTCAGTAACCCCTGCTTGCGGTAAGAGGCCCGTTGTCAAATGTCATTGTATCCCAATTCCGTAGATCAATGCTTATGCTGTTCATCTGTCTGGTCCAGGCTTAATTATTTACCCGCCATATAGCTGGAATATTGCTGAGTGTAGCGTAAAACTAAACTCACTAAACTTAGTTATTTACAAATACACAATGCCATTTTAGAAAGTGGTCAAATGTAACATATATTACTTACTCTATACTTTACTAAGAAAGTGTAATCCCAAATATAACATATGTTAGTTATTTACAGACTGCCGCCATATTGCTGAAGTATTGCAGAGTGCGTTATTAAACAACAAACAAACCGTACATGTCGTTACATTACCATGGATTTGTTACAGAAGTGTCATCTTCGTCACTCAATAAGTAACTTTGCACAGATTTCCTCGCCCTTATGGTATGTTATTGATGGCTGTTTCTAGCGTAAGAGGTGACTAACAGAATCAGGTGGTCAGGCTCGCTGACTTGGTTGACACATGTCATCATGTCTCAATTACGTAGATCGATGCTCATGATGTTGATCACTGGATTGTCTGGTCCAGACTTGATTATTTACAGATCGCCACCATATGGCTGGAATATTGCTGAGTGCGACGTCAAATAACAAACTAACAAACAAACAAAACAAGCATGAACCAACTCTCCTGTTGTTACAGATGTTCCTAGCCATTACTCGCCTGGTTTTGTCGACAAAGAAAGAGCAACAGAAGAAAGCCGCAGACGCCCCCCAGACAATAAAACTTGACGGACACAGAAGTAGCAAGAAGAAGAAGTGCTGCTAACAGATTTAGGATGTGTAGATACTTTATATTTTAACCAATTCACTGTTGCCAGCTGGGCACCATCTGCACAAGATGACATTACTGGCGACATACATTTCGATCAAATCACTGAAAGCCATGGATTGGTAGCAAGATTAAGTTGATTCCTAAGACATGCATATTTTTAGAGAAATCTGTAACATAAATCACTGTATAAAAATACTTTTGCAATTAACAGTTTGAATTTGTATTTTTAGATACAGGTTTCGATTTTTGTAACAGATCATTTTAAGTATTTTGCATACAATTGTATAGACTTTGTGTTTCAGATCATCTAATATGAACAAGGAATCACAAAAAAGTTGAAATTTTATGAAAAGTAATGCAGTGTATATAAATTTGCAAGCATGAGTTTGTATATTCAAAGAGGTTTCAGTTTTCCACTTTTGTCAATATGTTTCTTCTAATTTTTCCTGTTGCTATGGTTACCTGTGTATTTGCAGATTTGCTCATAAAGTAGAAGAGATTGATCATCATTTCTAACCATAAGGAGGCAAGTAAAGAAGCAGTTCTCTTAAAGGTCACATGCAACGTAAAACACAACTTTGCAGATTCTGATACCTTTCGGTATGGACTTACTGAAACAAAGCGTCAAAAATGCAAATTCAACTTATAAAGTTGAAAAATAACGCGATGAAAAAAAACGCGCGAAATTGGAGTTCAAACGTTTCACTAATTTTCCCCAGACTTTTCTGGGGAATACGGGTTTCAACAGCTGGGCTGCGCTCATAGCACGTGCGCAGTGAAATAGGTTCGCGCAACTTGGAAGCGGGCTGTCTGGTGAATACTCGGTGAAGGCTTTGGTGTGAGCTATTTTCATAATGTTTTGTTGATATCTCACAGGTGCGAGCTTTTATATGTTATGACAGTAAATAAACTGTTTATATAATTTCATTTGTCTATTTCACCACACGTTCTTCTTACCGAGTCACTTTCTCAGTTCGATGCTTAAAAGCAATGTCATTATTTAAGCGTTGACACAATTTCTAACTGTGATATAGATATGTCGCTGTCACAGACAAAACTCAATGTCTTGTTTTATTGACACCTGTGTGTCTGCCTGCCTGTCTGCTAATGACAATATTCAATACACAACTCACGATCACTGACCACATGCAATTTGAACTTAACACCAATCAGGCTATACACCATAAACAAAACGCATTGATTTATGGCCCGAGTTCGGTCTCTGTCACATTATGTAATTACACAGACAGGCAGGTGTGATACTTGAACACATGACATGTTATGATGTCTGTTGATTGCAAAATGTTATACACAAAAAATGAGCATGTATTTACAAAACCCAACATCTCTATATATACACACACAATGAGCCGTGAAGGAGGCATCTGCTAATGAACCAGCCGTTACACTTGAGTGCACACCCACCCGCTCTGACTGGGTTCGGTATCCCGGCTGCTTCGTTTCGAGGGAGGTAAACCCAAGTACAAAATATTGCACTTTTGATTTGCGATTATACGCTTATAATTTTGTTTATTTGTTTTTTCATAATCAGCCATGCATATTACATGTCATGAAGAAGTGATAATTGTGTTTTAATTATGTTTGATTTTTTGGTTGCATGTGACCTTTAAATTTATCACAATCTTGAATTGTTAGGGATTAATGATATTTGACACAGGTAATTTTTTTGAAGCTATCACTATCCTGAACTGTTAGGGATTAATGATATTTGACACAGGTAATTTTTAATGTGTAAACAACCTTATTCTACTGAAGAGTGAGATTTGGGGTTCTCTCTTTTAAGCCAATAATGTGTATTGACCCACTCTGGACACTGAACAATATATCCTTGCAGGCCAGCGGATATGTTTGTTCGACATTTCACCTGACTGTCTGTGAATGTTTTAGCTTTATGTGCTATGCATTCATATCAACTTTCCTGGTTGTATGGCTTATTTCAGATTCATTTAAATCTGAAAATACAAGATGTAGACTGGTGCCCAACCCTCAGCTAGGAGCTGTCTGTGCTGGTGTTGTTATCTGGTTTGAGTTTGTCAGCTTTGATGTGGAGGTCAGAGTTTAAGAGGTCTGTTGTGGATTTTCAACAATCAATTGTTTATTCAGTGAAACCTTTTGACAGTATTGTTCCCAATAATGATACTGATCAATACATAAATAAAAAATGGTAATATTGCTGTTTATATTGGCTGTATTTCCACACTGTTTATAATTACTTACTACTTTGTTGGATAAGGTCCCATTAAACACAAGTAAGTGTTCCTTGTAGGAATTGTCCTGTGTGTGGAGTTTTTTTATTAAACAGGGTGCTGACTAATGAGTTATGGCTCAAGCTGGGGTTTGTTGGTAACATTTGGCAGATTGCAACTTGAATGACATATTTTCATGCATGATTGGGTCAACCACATCGTATTGAGCAGAATCACAAAAATCTGCAAGAAAAGTCTAAATGTGTATATGCATGTTCTGTTCCTTTGTTATGTATAATGAATTTCAAAAGGCTTTTTACCCAAAGTTAAAATGAATTTTTATATGCATTTTTTATTTTTCAAATATACTGAATTCTGTTCAGGACTGTGACAGGTTCCAGTGTCAGACACCTTGAAATGGACACATGACTGTTAGCTTGCTGTAAGCATTGTAACATGTATGTCAAAGAAAATTTGTCAAACTTTAAGGCTTTAAAAATCATTTGTATTGAATCGTAATACATGTTTCTTTTCATTTTCATATTTCTTTTTATTATAAAACACATTGGACTAGTCATGTTGTTTACTTTCAATGTTGAATGTTGTCATTTAACAACCTGTTCTCCCTTTACATAAGGAATGAAACAGCTCCATGTATTCAAGTTGGCAAGTCCACTGGCATCATAGGGGTAACAGTTTAACTGATCTCTGTTCTGTCATAATGTGTTCTCTTGTTTCTGTTATGTCATAATCAGCTCAAGGAAATTACAGTCGAAGTGTCAAAGAAGACATATGAGTATTAAAACATATAGAATGGTTTATTATAGAACACTCAAACTTGGTGATACAGATTTCTATGCCTCGTAAGTCAGCCGACTGCCTCTGAAGAGGATGCGATCCTACTTCCTACATGGTGTCTATGAAGATGACACACTTTACACAATAAATGGAAACCCAGCAGAACGAAGGTTTACACCCCTCTCATGTAAATCATCCAGTGTTGACACAGACATACCGGGTAGCAACAAAGCAGACAACTCTCCGAAGCACTGGCCATATATGGTGATATATATTTGGGAGGCATAAATTAAAAAAACACATTCCACATGCACATAATGATCAGTAAGTTTTTGTTATTTATTTCTTGAAAATGTGTTTCTCTCTAAAGTAACATCTCTTGCGAGGCTATTTACATGTGCCATATTGAATGGGCTTATTGCTAATGTGCAATCAGGCAGATCTAGCGAATTCATAGCTTAACACGTTGTAAAGGCAAAAACATTGAAAAGAATAAAATACATATTCAGATTCAAACTGTTCCTGTAGAAAATTCCGCTGCTTTTTAAGTTTTATGAACATGTCTATAGCCTGTCCTTTCCGTCTCATGTATGGAGTATTGTTATGGTCAGCGTACATGTATCCATTACTGCATTGTCATTAATTTCCTTGTGCCATGTATTTCCCTGAATATCTCTCTGTATAATCCCCAGCTTATCAGTTGAAGGGACAGCCAAAAACATACCTCCACAGTGAGTGGGGAATGGGATGTGTACATCAGACTTGCCAATTGTCTAGGTGCCTCAATTCTCTGTGCAGAGTTGCTTCCCTTAGGCATACCAGAAACTTGAGATGTGGGTTCAGATCCCATGAGCTTGTGTTTCGAGGTTTCTCAGCACTATACCAATGCTGCAAGGTTTCACCAGAGTGTTAATTTTCACCTGCATCCGTTCAGATTTTTCTCTCTTGCCTAGCTGACATGGCTTCATATAACAGATAGACTGTCCAAGGATAGATTGTCCAAAACAGTGTTTGACCGAACTCACACACTTTCTGTCATCCAAGAGTGTACAAAAATCATACCCAAAAGTTTATGATCCCCTGATTGTTGCCATTGTCAAAACCTTGTAAGATTTAGAACTGCAAAACTGAGACTATGATTTCACCCCCCTGTCACACATCCTGCTGTTTCATGCCTGATTTCACAGTTCTCCCTTTAAATGTTGGACATGTTTTAGAGACATGATGACCTATGTTTGCTATCAGTTCAGTGTGGTTTCAGTAATGCTTACTCATCTTTTGACTGTTTACTTTGTTTTCGAAGCAATCAATCATTTAGTCGATTTAAGATTTTTAAAATCAGACCTTTTACTCCGATTTGATATTGTCCCCATGATGACCTGATAACTCACAAGAAGACTGTTGACCCGGAGCATTCTGCCAATTCTAAATATAGGATGACTGGATTGTTGAGCAATACAGATGTCAGTTTTCTAAGATGATTTGTCTTATATCTTTACAATCTGGAAATCGGAACTTTCAGTATCAAAGTTAAACACACCGAAACTCAGATATTCCTTTGATAGTATTTCCTTGGTGTAGATGTCATACTTCTCAGAAATGACAAGATGCCTAAAATGTTTAGTACAATATGATGGTGAAGCCATTATTATTTACTTTGAGAACTGGCTGATTCAGTTCAATTTCAAGAAACAGAAATCAGATTTACTTGACTGAATGCTCTGCTCACATTTACCCAGGTACCAGATACAGTTTGGCTGATTAGAAAGTTCACCTCACCTACTTCCTTTGAAAGATTGTCAGACTTTCTCATAGCAGGATATCCTTTCTGAGTACAAGATCTGGTTTTGATTAGATTGTCAATCACTCGTCATTGCATTTTGTTGTAGTTAACACAGTGTAGATAATCATGTTCTTGCCAAAGTGTTTTCTTCCAATTTGTCTGATTTATATATATTCACTTAAGGTCAAGTAATTCTAAAAAAAGTAACAACAGTCATTCAAATGAAACTGCTGATAATAATGAAAATATTTGTGTTTTATTCATGTGAAAAATATAAAATGATTAAGTGCTGTCTCGAAAAGAGTATGTTACTAATATTTGATATGATTTCTTAATGATATTTTCATGTGTGTAATTGTTTGACATTGACTCATCCTCTTTAGTCTAGGGAATTGTGTTTCTGTTGTATTGTGATG